ACCATTAACAAAGTCTATATTTTCAACCATTTTTCCAAGTATTCCCATGCATTTTTGCTTCAGTAGATACCCAGCTCTCCTGAGGACCTGTAGTACCCTGTGCAGTCCTCTCAAGCGCTGACTATTTTCTCTGCCATGCATTCATACCACCTGCACTGGAGGTGCAGTTGATGTCTTGACATCTGTCTGTTGTTTTCAGACTGCTTTCCCTCCTTCATTCCTTAAAAGTCTTCAGCATTGACACTCAATCCATCAGACACCTCTATCTAGCATTACTTGTTGCAGTCCTATACAGACTACTGGGTCTTTATTTTTACTCCTTGAAGGTTGAAGTTCCTGTCTTGCCATCATTCTCTCCAATAGAACTGTTACTATTGTTATAACTTCAAGTGTTTTCATAAATGTTCTCTCAGCCTTTGGTTTCCTTTCCCTCAAAAGATCTTGGCTCACATTTTATTTCATCCACATTCTCCCATAATCATTTTTCTGCAGCAGTAGTTCTTAAAATGTGGTCCCCAGACCAACATCATTGGCATAATCCGAAGCCTGTTACAGATAGACCCCACGTCAGACTACCTAACCCCAAACTCTGGGAGTGGGGCCCCAAATCTCTATTTTAAGAAGCCTTCAGGTGATTCTCAGGAATGTGACCATTCATCAGATCTTGTTCTCAGTACCGTTACTCTCACAGTCTCAAATTCAAGCATCCTCCCCTCACCCTGTTGCCGTCCTCTTCTTGGACCCTATCTGGTATATAGCATGTTCACAGTTATTTGTGAATAAGTGAAGGAATACAGGAGGAGGGAGAAATAAAAGTCGGTTTCCATGATAATCCCATTCTCATTAGTGGTTACCTCAGCATGAGGAATGAAAGAGGGTATAGTAGACCATTGGTATCTATCCATGGTCTATGGTTCCAAGGAGACAACAGTTGCAGAAAAATCACGGATACTTAGGATACGTAGAGTTCAGCACTGGACCACAGATGCTTAATTTATTTTTCCTATAATGCTGCCCAACTTCTGCTGAAGACCTGCCACCGTTCAGCAATCTCACATGTTCACTTGATCATTTAAATTAAGCATACTCACTTTTAATTTGCTTTTTGGGCATCATTGGCTTTTGGGGAGGCAGTTTTTTTATTTTTTATTTTTAGTAGTACTGGGATTTGAACTCAGGGCTTTCCCACTTGCTAAGCATGTACTATACCACTTGAGCCTTGTCTGCCCCTTTTGTTCTGTTTATTTTGGACATATGATCTTTTGCCCAGGTCACCCTGGACCATGATCCTTCTATTTTATGTTTCCCACCCTTGCTGGAATGAAAGGGGTGCATCACCAGGCCCAGCTTTTTTCCATTGAGATGGGGTATGGCAATCTTTTTTTGCCTAGACTGACCTGGAACTAACAATCCCATGCATAGAGAGATAACAAGCATGCACCACTGTGCCCAGCTATTGATGGAGATGGGGGTCTCATGAAGGTTTTGCTAGACCGGACTTGAACCACAATCCTGATTTCACCTCCCAAGTAGCTAGGATTACAGCCGTGAGCCTCCAGCACCTGGTGGGAGGCACATTTTTACAAAATTAAGGGCAAGGAAACACTCAGCAGATTACACACAGATTTAAACACCACTGATGAAAACATAGGATTACCGAGAGCTCCACATCAGCCTTGCTGCACAATGCATATGACAGCATTAAAGATTTTTGGTTTTGAATTATTATTTATTTATACTGTGCAAAACTACATGCAATAAGTCTGCAAATGAGGTGGGCTTACTATATTCTGACAAATTTTCCAGGCAAACTTAATCTAGATATTTCATCTGACTCTTGGTGTCTGAGGTTTAGTTCAAGTTTCTTGTCCCTATCATATTTTAATAAAAGTAACCCTGGGGTTTGCCTGCTTAGTCCTTCTCGGTTAAAATACTTCAGTCTTATCCTTTACAATTTTCTTTAACCTGTTCCAGAGTCATACATTGGATTTAGTTGTCACCACATTAGTGCCCTTCAAAAGAAGTAATGAGCTGGGCACTGGTGGCTCACATCTATTATCCTAGCAACTCAGGAGCTAGAGATCAGGAGGATTGCGGTTTGAAGCCAGCCTAGGCAAATAGTTCTGCAAGACCCTATCTCCAAAGGGAAGGTATCAAAAAACTTTTCACAAAAAATAGGACTGGTGGAGTGGCTCAAGGTTAAGGCCCTGAGTTCAAGCCCCAGTACCACAAAGAAAAAAAGGAGTAATGAATAATAAGAAGGAACAGAGTTTAAGAATATGCAGTTATTTTGTCTGTAATTGATTATCACCAGATAGTTTTAGTATCCTTTACTTGAGTCTTTCCTGAATCAGTTACTGTTGCAATGGAAGAAAACAGTGATTTTCTTATTCTGTAAAGTCTTAATATTTATTAGTTGTTATTTAAGATAGATTTTTCTCTCTTTGTCCTTTGCTTGGTGTCAGTATTGTCCAGGGAGTTGGGTGTTAAAAAAATTCAATGAAGACTTTTATATTACTGTAATCATTTCATTTTGTATTGTCCCAGGATTGGTCACTGGGACAATAAGTCTTTGGGTCTTTTATCAGAAATAGGTAATAAAGGTGCAAGGAGTAAGTCAGGAGCAAAGAAGCAAGAGGGGTAAATTCTGTTGGAGATTTGAAAAGGCTACAGGGAAGAAGCAATTTTTGGAGTGAGCTTTGAAAAAAAAGGTATATTCTTTGATAAAAGGGGGGGTGCTGGGTGGTGTAGAAATGGAAAACCATCTGAACAAAGAAGACCCCACAATAATACAATGGGTCTGGACCATGATGAGGAAGTTGAAATGGGACAAGAAAACCCTCTGCATTAACTTGGCTTCATGGATTGATGCAGGCTGGTCTTATAGCCTAGAATTTCTATCCCTGCCCTTTTGCTAAGCAGTGGGATGAAGGGTCAAGACGGAAGGAATTCTAGATAGTGAAAACAGCATGAACCAAAAGGCCTATTCAAACAATTCTTTCTTCTAGAAGCCTTCTTCAGATCCCCAGTGAGAACTAGCCACCCTCCTCTCATATACTCCCCTCATATTTCATGCCTTTCTGCTAACAAGTCTTCTGTCTCACATTGTTTATACTGTGGACATGTCTTCCTCCTATAAAGCATGAACCACCTCTTAATCACCTGACCCTCCTTCCCAGAACTCAGCATGAATGCTCAATAAATGTTTCTTGCACAAGCATGAGAGCGAGGAGAGGAGATGGGTGGAGAGAGAGAGGGCTCCAGATACCATTTTTAGGGGTTCGGACTTCTCTGAAGGAGGTGATAAGCCATGCAGCATTAGAACAGTGAAGCACTGTTTACAGGTGTGATGCTAGAGGATGCAGGGGATGAGAGAACAGCTAGGGGCCTGTGCAGTGGCTCCAGAACCAGACAGAGAGTTGTGGAAGACCTGGAAGCAAGGAGTTACTATCATGTGTGTCTGGGAGTTCAGGAATGCCGGAACTGGAAAAAGGAAGGTTCTGGGGATGGTATGAAATTTCCAGCCTCTGTGACTGGGAGGCTGACAAAGGCTTATTACCGAAATAGAGACCATGGATAGTTTGTGGGGAATATGCAAGTTCAGTGTGGCCCTTTCTCTTCATCCACAACTGTCCCTGAATTCAAAACAATATGTGTGATTGAATATTATATCAAATACAATGAGACATGAAATATTCTCTTTTCTTGAGGTACAAAACATGACTTTGGTGTAAGAGACATTTTTCACTTATCTTTAATAAGGGTTTTATTGAAAACAGATGTTACTTAACCTTAATTTCAATTAACCTACGTACTTTGGTTTCATGTTCATTTTTTTCTTTCCTCTCATACCTTCCACTTGGTATCTCTCATCTTGTCTAAACTATATCCTTTCAAGTTTCCTTCAATATTTTAGAACTTTTCTTTAGTCTTTTTATGTCAAATTGTTCTTATCTGGATAACTTCATTGAGATTTCAATTTTAACTCACATATTTTCATTTCTAAGTGTTTGTCTTTTAAATTTTTCTTGAAAATTATTTATAGTTTATTGTTCATTGACAATTTTCAAGGCTGCCTGTGAATTGTAAGATTAGCTATTTTATGTCCTATTCTTATAATTTCCAATGTATATGATTCCATTGGAGTATATTTGCTTTTACTATCATAATGTCTTGTCTCTTAAAAAAAAAAAGAAAACAGATGTTAATAACTGCTTTTGTAACCTTGAAATGTGGTCCTCTGAGAGCAGCTTCCTATAAAAGAAACGATTGTCAGCTTTCTTTTGGCTCCTGCCCCTTCCTAACAACAGAAAATTTGCTTTGCACCTGCTCCAACTGGGTTCCCAGTGATAAGCATCTTGCAAGCCCAGAAAATTGTAGTATCAAATCTCAGCCCCAACTGTGAGGCAGCACCCTTATTGGCTCCCCGCTTAAAGGCGTTGCTTTCTCAACTCCCAGAGGAGTGCTCTCTCCCCTGGCTCTTTTTCGGTCTTGAACTCTGACCTAAACTCTCCTTTTAGCTACCAGCATGCATTGCTCTGGGTGCTGGCAGTGCACCACCTCTGCTTACTCTGCTCTGCCCTGGGATCATCAGTAGGTCAGGCGTCATGCCCAGGTCCAAAAATGAGCATATTTATCTATGAAGAAATTGTCCTTTCTGTTTGTTACATCGTATCACTTTTCTCCAGAAGCACAGGCTAAAGTAACATTGACCAAAATCATCTGTGATTTGGTCAATGAATAGTTACAAAATTGCTTTTATTTATATCTTCCTTCTTAAGTGAAATGCTTTGCTATAAATAATGATTTATTTCAAATTGAATTCACTGCTTGGAACTCAATAAATGTTTTAAAATAAAGCTACATTCAGGAATACACCTATAAGAACTTTGAGTAAAAATAGCAAATACTATTTAAATATATGTATGACATTCTAAAGGACTTGTGTATCATTTTAAAGGGAAAAGAGCTGACAAGACATTTTATCATTTTCTTCTTAGGTTTTTCAAATAGACCAAAGTCATTAAAAATACTCCTTAACCCCCAAAGTCACAAAAAAGAAGCTGTCCAAGTCTATTATGAGAAAGTTGAACCTCTGCTGAAGCTTGCAGGAATAAAGACTGATATAACAAGTAAGTTATTTTCAGTATATAATTCACTACTTAAAATAACACACAGAAGCCACAAAAAACTGAATTTGTTCTTAATCCTAACTTGGGTAGCTACTTATAATATCTAAAGCTTTTTTCCTGTGGTCCCATAACTTACAATGGCCAGCTCCAGGGTAACTATTTTGTTTTCAAAATTTTTATTGTGCAATTTTTGTTAAAATATGATTCTTTTCTCTTTATGCCTTTTGGTGACTTCAATAGTTATTAGGTATGATTTTAAAGGAAACTAGACTTTTAGATATCATCAAGATGTTTACATTTACACATTACTGCTGAAGTTTGTCAAACAAACACTTTTTCTTTTTTTTCCTCACTTACATGGAATCCTTTAGGTTGTTTTTGTTCTGATTCTGACCCCTGCTGGTTAGGTCAAAATAAGCATTTGACTGCTGGTTTTAGCTGAATTAGAGAAAGCAGAAGTTTAAATTCTTAAATTTAAAATAATAGCTTGGTGCTAAGAAAAATAGAAATTTGCTAATGCTAAATTGATAGAAGATTAGTAATATCTTTTGACTTTTAAAATTGGTGACCAGATTTCTTAGTTTCCTTGAGATGTGTTTTCCCTATGGCTGGAGACTGAGAAGGGTTGATATTCTTGAAAACTAGTATTCTAGCTTTATTTCTATGCAGCTTTACTAATGCAGTGGAAATTTACAATAAATTTTAATTGATGAAGAATATTGCATAATAAGTTTACTCAGGAGTCAAACTCAGGGTGCAGTGGAGTTTCCTAGTCCAGATTATAAATTTCTGGAAAGGTATTTGAGTGACCTGGCTCAGTGGTAACCAACTGAGATGGATTTTATAATATAATCAGGTCATTGAAGCCTAGTGATTTGATAGATTGGGGTAAAAGGAAGTTCTTAAAGAAAGAAAAATGTTCTGGGAAGGTCACCCAACCCAAAACACATCTACTACAGTGGAAGGTAAATAGAAGCTAACATTTTTTCATGTGTTTTTTGGCCATTTGAATTTCTGCTTTTGAGTTTCTTCTTTTGAGAAAGTTCTGTTTAGTTTACTTGCCCATTTCTTTATTGGTTCATTAATTTTGGGAGAATTTAGTGTTTTGAGTTCCCTATATATTCTGGTTATCAGTCCTTTGTCTGATGTGTAGCTGGCAAATATTTTCTCCCACTCTGTGGGTGTTCTCTTCAGTTTAGAGACCATTTCTTTTGTTGAGCAGAAGCTTTTTAGTTTTATGAAGTCCCATTTGTCCATCCTTTCTCTTAGTTGCTGAGCTGCTGGGGTTCCATTGAGAAAGTCCTTGCCTATACCTATTAGTTCCAAAGTATTTCCTACTCTTTCCTGTACCAACTTTATAGAGTTTGGGGTGTGATATTAAAATCCTTGATCCGTTTTGAATTAATATTGGTATAGGGTGATAAACATGGATCTAGTTTCAGTTTTTTGCACACTGCTAACCAGTTTTCCCAGCAGTTTTTGTTGAAGAGGCTGTCTTTTCTCCATCATATATTTTTAGCACCTTTGTCAAAGATAAGTTGGTTATAGTTGTGTGGCTTCATATCTGGGTCCTGTATTCTGTTCCACTGGTCTTCATGTCTGTTTTTGTGCCAGTACCATGCTGTTTTTATTGATATTGCTTTGTAATATAGTTTGAAGTCGGGTGTTGTGATACCTCCAGTGTTGTTCGAATGGATTAAGAAAATGTGGTATTTATACACAATGGAATTTTATGCAGCCATGAAGAAGAATGAAATCTTATCATTCGCAAGTAAATGGATGGAACTGGAGAACATCATTCTGAGTGAGGTTAGCCTGGCCCAAAAGACCAAAAATTGTATGTTCTCCCTCATATGCAGACATTAGATCAAGGATAAACACAACAAGGGGATTGAACTTTGATCACATGATAAAGTGAGAGCACACAAGGGAGGTATGAGGATAGGTAAGACACACAAAAAAACTAGATAGCATTTATTGCCCTCAATGCAGAGAAACTAATGCAGATACTTTAAAGAGACAGAGGCCAATAGAAGGGACCAGGAACTAGAGAAAAGGTTAGTTCGAGAAGAATTAATTTAGAAGGTAACACATGTACAGGAAAGCAATGCGAGTCAATTCCCTGTATAGCTATCCTTATCTCAACTATCAAAAACCCTTGGTCCTTCCTATCATTGCTTATACTCTCTCTTCAACAAAATTAGAGATAAGGGTAAAATAGTTTCTGCCTGGTAGCGAGGGGGTGGGAGGAGAAGGAGAGGGCGGGGTAGGCAAGGGAGGGGGCTGGGGGAAGGGAGGAGAAATGACCCAAACATTGTATGTACATATGAATAAAAGAAAAAAAAAGATAAATAAAGAAATAAATAGACACTAACATGAACATCTCAAGGGGAGCTGGACATGGTGGGACACTCCTGTTATCTCAGCACTCAGAAGGCTGAGGGGAGGCTAAGGCAGGAGGATGGAGAGTCTAAAAGACCAGCCTAGGCTACGTAGCAAGACCCTGTCTCAAAAACAAAGAACAGTAACGAAAAACACCAAGAGGAGTTTCTGAATTGAAATACAGTTGTGTTGAAAAAGTTAGCCTTTTATGTATAGGACTTGCTTTTCAAATGAGGAGAAAATTCAAATGAGGTGATTTTCAAATGAGGAGAAAATTCACATCTATCTATCCTTACTTTTCTACTGAAGATTTCAAGATTGCCTGAAGGAAAAATTTGAGATCTATATTGGGAAGAAACAACTAAAAACTGAGTAAACTCTTTTACAAACTCATAAGCAATAATTATTTTGCATTTTTCATATGTGAACACTACGAAAGTTTGCCATGGATATTGATGCATATCATTCAGTTCAAGAATCTCTTTGGAGCCAGGTGTGATATTGCACATCTATAGTCCTAGGTATTCTGGAGGCTGAGGTGGGAGAATTGATTGAGCCCAGAAATTTGAGACCAGTCTGGGTAACATAGCGAAACTGTCTCAAACAAACAAACAACCTATTGTCAAATACTTGCTGTGTGTTAAGCACTGTTCTTTCTGTGCTGGTTCTTTCTGTCTTCATAAAATAGCTGCAAGTGAAAAGGACCATTTTTTATTCATACCTAGAGGGACAGGGAGAGTTATGTGTATGTGAGATAGAGGGATATATCTTGAAGATATATTAAATTTTTCTGTTGGTTTGATTATGCTAATATAGTGTCTGTGACCAACATAAAACAATCATTCCCTTAGCCATCAAAACATTCCCAGGAACTGAGGGTTGGTTCCCTTTTCTGAAGCCTGAGGATCCTGAACTGAATCTGATTCTGTTAGGGAGAAAAAGAGCAAAGCAGCTTCTGGGAAGACTCCCAAAAGTGTATCCCATGAGAAGCCTGAGTTCAGACTATAGATGAAACTTTATGCTACCTCAGCACCTTATTTGCCACACATTGATCCATAATTACTATAAATTTTTTTACTACAGTATTGTAGTCTGGTTTGTAAAGATGACTCCAGAAATAAGATTAGAAAGGGAGTGAGAAAAATGGGTGAAAAGGAAACCAGTGCGGGATGCCTGAACCAAGGCAAAGAAAACCAGAGAAATGTGCTTTTCTTCTCACAATAATTGTACCGCTGAGTAGAATATGTCTGAGGGTGCTTTCCAGATTTTTAAGTATGATTTAATATTACATTCTAATATAAAAACAAAATTTTTGTTTAACATAGAACAGTCAGGATATTACATAAGCAAATTCAAATTTTAATTTTTTGTTAGTGAAAAATTATTGATTATTAGCTGCTTAACACGCCTCCTACAGGTAAAATTATAAAATTGCATCCTTTGGTCATAAAATGATACTTTTGTATATTGGTACATATTTATATATAATGTTTCCTAATTTGTGTCAAGTACTCAGTAAGCAGGTTCACACTTGGAAAGTTGTAATCTTCCTTCCTACCTTACTATTTTGTTTTGTAAAATACTTTGTGTATTATAAAGTGCTATATAAGCATAGTCATAAAGTTATTAATTTCATCTTCATGAAATTATGTAATAATATTCAATTCACACCTTATTTGAAAGAAACATGCATGAAGAATTATGCAAAAGGTATATCTTCTGCATATCCATTGTTTTATCATATCCTTTCATGCATTAGTGAGTCCAAATGGAATATGAATGACATGAATTCTATATGATGATTAATTCATTAGGAAATAATAATACATAAATATGAGGCATGATTTGAAAAATTGCAGCTGTATATATACTTTACAAAGTAATTCTTCCATAAATTTCTTTTAAAAATGGATCTCCCTACATTAATAAAACTACTTTTGTTTTGGCTTGTGCTGAAATCCTAAATACTTCTGAATGTAGTCCAGCATCTTTTGAAATATTTGAGCTAGAATCTCACCATCAATGTAGGTATTATCTTATAATGGCATCAGAAAACCATCTAGGATGATAGAGGGGGTAAATCTAACTAAAATATATTGTAAGCACATGTGTAAATATCATGAGGTATCCCCCTATACAACTATTATATACTAATAAATAAAGAAAAAAAGAAATAAAAAAAAAAGAAAAAGAAAACCTTTTGGAAAAACCTAGGAGAAACTGATATCTTTTTTTGGTTTTTTTTTTGGATAACAAAGCTTGAACTCAGGGCTTCCAACTTGAGCCACTCCACCAACCCTTTTTGGTGAAGGGTTTTCTTGAGATAGGGTCTCATGAACTATTTGCCTGAGCTGGCTTTGAACTGTGATCCCCCTGATTGCTGCCTCCTGAGTAGCTAGGATTATAAGTATGAGCCACTGGTGTGCTCAGCTTCTAGATTATTTTTTAGTAACCTGTCAGTATAAGGGTCAAAGAAGAGCATTAGTGATAAGCCCATGTTGACATATAATATAATTTCTTTTCCTTGATCCCCAAATAAATTAAGCAGATTTCAGTGATTGTACCATTACAGGTGTGAGAGGTCATGGATTTATAGGATAACTCATGTAATAATAAAGTGAAAAAGTCAAGGCGGCAGAAAAATCAGAGTGAAAAGAACTTCAGAGCCTATGTAGTTCAACTCCTCCAAGTAATGGACTGCGGGTGAGTTGCACCCCCTGTAAGTGACCACCTAGCCTTGGCTAGGAGCAAAATATACTGTTACTGGGCAATATTGTTCCACGTTCTTGTGTTTGGTTCCCTTTCCCTCTGTGTATATTAAAAGATACCTCCTTTATACTGACTTATAAAAAGGTACCATTACTTTTGAACTGGTTCAGTCTAAGGTCATCAAGCTTGTTGATTAGGAACCCTGGATGCATTGCAAATCTATCTGATCCTTTGACCAACTGCCTTTGTGGTAGGCATAAACTGAAAAAAGGGGAAAACTTGAGAGCTGAAACTTGCCTCTTTGCAATTGTTATCTTCAATTACAGAGTTAATGTTATATTTTGTAGTAATACAAAATGTACATATCCTATCTATTGTATAAGAGCCACTGAATTATTTGAAGACAGATGCCTTTTTGCCTTGCCCTCTCCTGTTCATGATAGGCACTCCGCCTTCTTCAGTCACTCTTTGCACTAACAAAGGTGCCAGATCTTACCATGGTCGTTATCATTATCATGGCCAGACTTCTCTGAAAGCAACCGTGATCTCTGCCAGCTCAGATCCTGTGAGAATACCTAGTCATGAGATAATTTTAACACTTTGGCAGAACTGTCCAGAAAGTGGGCTTTATTTTTGGGGGGGTCACTTTCCTCTTCTTTCTTTTTCTGGTATCATGCTTCTAATTTTTTTACCCTTTTCCCTAGTTTTCTGTGTTATTTCTCTTTGGCTCTTCATGGCTCTACTTGAAACCTTCCATTCTTTGGCAATGCCACTTGTCATTCCTGATCTCACCCAGCAGAAAGTTAGGCAATCTGATGAAACTGAGTCACAAGGAGATAAAAAAATAAACTGCATCATAAAAGGTGCTAGTAGCATGAAGTGTTACTCCTTTTCATTATAAAATTAAAATCTACAAGGTAAGTCTTCATTATATCATATCCAGCTAAAGAAAGAAAATTGTGGGTGAAAGGTTCTTTCATTTCTTCTTAATTGTGAGTGCAGATGGCCAATCCTATTCCCAACACTCACATGTAAGTAAGTTGGAAGTTTATTCTAGGAGACAGAGAAAAGTCATCCTAATAGGATTTATGCAAGGACATGATATGATTAAATATATTTGAAAAAGGTCATTCAGTCTTCAGTGATACAGAAGTTGGAGGCTATTGTAGAATACTTAGGAAAAATGGCAATGGCCAAATCAAGAGCATTGATGGTGAAGAATGGAGAGATGCTGCAGCAGAATAGAAGACAGAAGCTACTTGGTGTTGGGCCACAGAGTGGTTCTGGAGAATGGAGGAGAGGAATAGGTAAGGAAGAAGAAATTTTCCTTATCTGTGGAGAGTGACCAATGGACCACAAAAAGAATGACATTTGAGAGAGAATATATTTGAACCGGGATATATTGGGTTCCATTATGAACTTACTGAGTTTGAAATACCTATAGGACATGATGGAAAATGACATGTCATTATCCTATTCCATGACAATTGTATTACAAGACCAAGAAATATTTCCTTATGTGCAGATCAAATCCCATCTGATTTTATTTCAAATTCAATGCCAATATTCACTATCAACCTCAAGACACTAGCGTCCTCTAGTCTTTCCTTCCTGAGGCAATAATAGTTAGGTTGAGGAATGGGGGAATTCCAGTCAAAGGAACTGTGTTCAAGACAAATTGTGGAGACTGTAAAACTAAGCAGAAAAGGGCACAATATAAAAAAAGTTGTCAATTTCATAGGAAAAGGAAAGTAGGTGAAAGAACAAGCTGTATCACATTTTTCTTGAAATTGATTCTTATAATCCATTCTATGTTTATTTGGAGTGGGATGATTTGAATCTAGATCTTTCTGATAATAGAGCCCATAATAGCCTGTGTAAATATATATTTACTTTAGATTACTATATGTAGTAGCCTAAACTGTGCTTTATCCTTATTACTTTATTTTTCTATTTGATAACTTATTACCTTTTCATATTATAAATTCATTTTTAATTAGTGTGTATTATGTATCTAGAATGTAAGTTCCCTGAGGCCAATGAATATTCATTTTGCTAAAATATTTTACAGGTGTGGGTAGTCATGTTTCTTTCATTTTTTCCTTTTTGTTCCAGATTGGCGATCTTACTTAATTTATACAATGTCCCTTAAAATTACTATTCTTGGACAGGTTGCATTAGTGTATAGTCAGATACCACCTGACAGATCAAAGAAAAATTAGACAATTTTAAATTTTACCTAAATGAAAATGGAAGTCAGCCATAACAGAAATTTAAAGCTAATTTTGCACTGAGTTTGAAAAACTTTACTTCAGTAAGCTTCAATATAGAAGCAAAATTTGATAAACTGGTTCTCAACATAAATATTTCCTCACAATATTCTTAATTATTTTAATGTGTGTATACAAGAAATTTTATTATTTTGCATTTTAAGGTTGCAGCTACCTGTTGTATTATTATACACATCTTTTATGATAACCCTCCAACTTTATTAATATTAATATTTTACATTTAGTTTTATTATATCTTCTGATTTAAATTTAATATAGAGAAGTTTTATTCATGTGAATGGTTAACAGCATTTTGAATCAGCTATGCAAGGATTATAATATACCTCTGCTAGATACAGCATGATTCTCTTAGACACCAAGACTAATAATTTTTAACAATATCTAAAAATGTTGTAGGAAAAGCTTGAACCATGCTGGCACCAGGGACAGACAGGCATGAAAGATTAATGTAATCTTGCATATAATGATGCACATTCTTACACAAAAAATCCATCTGCAGTGTCACGTCAGTCAGCAGAAATCTTTGATGGGTGGATACAGCTGGGCTGTCTCTTCTGGCAGAGCTGTCCTAGAAAATGCTAAATGTGCTTGTGATGCTTGGTGCCATCTGCAGTGTGCCCGTTTATCCTGTCTTCACTGGCATTTTCAGTACTGCACAGGGCATCAATGACTGTGGTGATGGAGATCCAGTGTGACAGATTCATTTCCTAGGAGGATCCAGGCTCTGGTGGGCTTGTGTGCCACCCTCCCCCTGGGTTTGGGTCTCTTATCATTGGTGTTGGCTTTGCTTCATATTTTCACATCCAACTCCTCCTTTTTTTAGTCTAGCAGTTCCAGATACACATTCTTCTGGTATGTAAATCTTACACTAACCTTTCAACTAATTTATTCATGTAAGATTGCCAAAGCAATTTAACATTGACTGTTGGATGCCAGCTAATATGCTGTATTTTCAAAATACTACTGCTCTGAAGCTTCTGATTTAAAGGAAATGTGTCTTATTTGGGGAACACTAAACAGACAGCCACCAAGATAAATTTTGTAAGCACTATGTGTTGGATATCCCCAAATGACTTATATAGTTGCAACAAATACATAACCCTCTTTTACATAAAGCTATAAAATACCCCAGGCAACTAACTCTTAATCCTCTTTCCTATGACTAAAATATAAATATTTAAGAATAAATGTTGCTTTATGGCCTGTTCATATGTTAAGCATATTATTTTACCAAACCAAATTACAAAGTATAGATCACAAGTTTCACCTTTGTGTGTGTGTGTATGTGTTTTTTTAATAGTAACAGAATACAAATGGCACGCTCTGTCTCTGCTTCAGGAATGTGAGCTCCAGGGATTTGATGGGTAGGTTGCATTATTAATCTGTATCATATACCTTATATTATTAAGTGTTTTTATTAGCTTTTTGCCATGTATTTGGAACTTGTTAGTTTTAGACATTTGTGAGGCATATAATAAGGCTCCATTTTGTTCATATCTATGTAATAATAATTAATGATACTATGACATGGTCATTCACCTTTCAGAGCATGGCATAGAAAAGCAAAAAGAGACATCTAACTATAAATGTACTGTGTACTAACCTATACTTAAAGCAAATACATTTGCATTTATAATTCTTCATGTTTGCCCTTTATCATGAGAACATTAAGAACACTGAGGAGATATTATTTTGATCATATGGTATAACTATGCTATGTTCCTCTTTTGCAGGTTTAGTGATAGTTTTAATGGTAACTTAATAGCTAATTTGGCTGTGATTAGTTGGGAATAATATTATTTGACAACAAATCTATTATTTTGAAAATGAATAAAAGATGCTAATTTTAATGGTCCCGTAATTTAGTGACTCTCAGCTAGGTGTGTTAGTCATAGTAGATGTAGGAAGCTGTTGTTTGCAATGCACTGCTGGGGTTGCAGGCTTCTCACTGGCATATGTGAACATGAGAGAGAAAGCAAGTGTCAAGTAGCCATTTACGAAGTTAGGTGAATTAATTTGCTGAAGTGATGGGCTGATGTATAAGACTAAAACATACTTCTTTTGGGAAGATTCATTTTGTAAGCGTAGATGTTTGAAAGCTTAAAAAGATGGCAAGTGTGTGAATTATTTGTGTTTCATTGTGAGGGACAGTGGGCGACAAAAATTCCTGGTCTGTACTTTCATCAAAGTGAAAGGCTTTTATCTTCCCAAACAAGTATCAGAATGTGTGGCGGGAAATGAGAGTCAAAGTGAAGCATGGGCAAGGTGTTTTTCAGAAACTCTTAATATGTTTTCGTGAGAAAAAATCAGTAGCTGGTAAGGAAGAAGGTTTGGTAAGTAGAATATAATTTAGCAAAAAGGAATTTAATTGAGGGGAGTCAGTCTAGATGGCAATGTTATATAAGTATTGAGGATCAAGGGGATGAGGTAGGTGGTTACTTTAGAATTTTATACTTAGAAATAGAAGGATTGAGGTCCATCCCCGGAGCTTGTTCTTACTCTGAGTTGCCATGAGCAAGCGGAACCAGGTGTCCGATATGCGGCCCACGGAGCCCGCGCTCCTATTGCGCTTCAAGGACGGGTCGGAAACCAAGGTGAGCCCGAGCGAGTTGTGTAACTTCAGAACCGCTGTCCTCTTGTTTCTACCTTGACCTGAAGGCCAGAGAATCCAGTCTCAGCTCCCAGATGAAGATGGTGATCACAGTGACGAAGAATATGAAGAGCCCCAAGTGGTAGTTTTAAAAAAGGGAGATTTGACAGCTGAAGAAGTCATGAAGATTAAAGCGGAAATAAAGGCTGCCAAAGCAGATGAAGAACCAGCTCCAGTTGATGGAAGAATCGTGTACAGAAAACCAGTTACGTGCCCCTCAGATGAAAAATATTCAGGTTTAACAGCAAATTCGAAAAAGAAGAAAGCAAATGAAGATGAAGTAAATAAGCAGGACTCGGTTAAAAAGAACTTGCAAAAGAAAATAAAAAACAGTAGCCTTCTTTCTTTTGGCAATGAAGATGAAAATGATTAAGTGTAACATTTTGGACTTAGTCTCCATTGAAAGTATATGAGGTATTTTTTTAAAAAACATTTTTCCTGTGTTTTTAAAAATAACATTCTTTCTTTATACTACAAGTTCATTATAGAATATTTAGAAAATAGAAAAATTTTAATAAGAACGATGTCTATCCATCAATACCTCTCTGATAGAAATACTCATTCTGTAGAAGTTAACTACTATTAACATTTTGTTGTTTCCTGTGTGCAGGTATGTATGTAATCTTTTTTTTTTTTTTGGTACTGGGGTTTAAACTCAGGGCCTGGCTGTAAATTAAATTTTTAAGCAAAATTTAAAAAAAAAGGATCGATTTAAGAAGTTATCTTGAAAGCACATAGTTTATGAAAAATAATTGGGAAACATGGCCACTGAGCATCTACTTTAATATGCTGTATAGTTTCTAACCAGGACTACATAGGAAAGCTACATTAAAAATGAGTCCTTGCCTTAAAACTTGACTATGTAAATAACAGATGTCATAGATATTAAAACTGAGCTTTCATGAAATGTTCTGCTGAATGTGGTATCTGTGAATATGTTCTTCTGATAATTATACAATGGCAAGGATGAAGACGAACTTTACAGAATAAAGAGAAACAATTACAGAAGTGAAGTATGGGAACATTTTTCTCTGTACCTAAACACATTTAATTCTTATTAATTTCTCATGAGGGTGTTATTCTGCATTGTGGTGCTGACACACAGATTCAGTAATTACTCATGTATTCTTAAACCAAATACATGGTTGTTTACGTGACCATGATATGGATTGAATTCTATGATTTGTTTCCAAACCCTATAGTATGCTGATTTACTGAGGGCTTAAAATCATTTAAGATTTTTATTAGACTCGGGGACCTCGGCGGGCCGGGCGCGGCGCACACGCAGGCGGGCGGCCGAGTGGCCGGGTGTGGCGGCTGCAGGTGCTCCGTTGGCGGCGCCCTGATCCGGTTCTGTGCCTGGATCGTCCGCGCTGCCCATGGCCGAGGTGCCCGTGCCTGACCTCGGGGCAGCTGAGGCGGCGACGCCGGCCTGGAAGGCCCCGGAGGACGTGGGCCCGAAGCCTGGAAGTTATGAGGTTCGACACTATGGACCAGCCAAATGGGTCAGCACTTGCGTGGAGTCTATGGACTGGATTCGGCCATCCAGACTGGCTTTATGAAACTGAACGACTACCTCCAAGGCAACAACGAGAAAGAGATGAAAATCAAGATGACAGCTCCAGTGACAAGCTGTGGAGCCTGGCCCAGGTCCTTTCAGCAAGTCTACCATTACCATTTCGCTATGTATCCCCTCTGCGCAGCAATCCGATCCGCCCAGGCCTTCGGAGTCAGGTGTCTGCATTGAAAACAGAGCTGAAATGACAGTGTTTGTACGGTCCTTCGATGGCTTCTCCAGTGGTCAAAAGAATCAAGAACAACTGTTGACGTTAGCAAGCATTTTGAGGGAAGAAGGCAAAGTTTTTGACGTGGTTTTCTACACTGCAGGCTACAACAGTCCTTTCAAATTGCTCAATGGAAATAACGAAGTGTGGTTGATTCAGAAAAAGGAACCCTCCAAAGAAAACGCATGAGGAAGGGGAAGGACATTCATTGCCGGGGCAAATCTGCTGCTTATTACAAACATCAACGCCACCTACAAGCAAAGTGCGTGTCTAGGGTCTTCTACCTGAGAGCTAGTATGAATTGCGCTCATTTCCAGTGTGCCTTTTTGAATGTTCAGAGCTTTACTTAGATGGATACCAGGGGACAAGTCTGAAAACATGTAACTCTGGTGGCCTTTGTTTCTGTGAGGATCCGGGACATGCCACAGTGCTTCCCTCTTCACTGCATCACAGCCACCTTGCCTTTTGCTGCTTGGGTTCATGTCAGCTGGATGCAGTGCCTCCCAGATAGTCTCAGTAGAAATAAGCGTTAAAGATTTATCCTGTGTGGAACTAGAGGCTGTCAGGCCTGGAGAGGCGAAGTTCAGTTGGGAACAGAAATAAAAGGTCTTTTACTGCTGCCCTTGTCCCATCCAGATGCCCACTCAAGAAAACTCTCACGCAAAAGCGTTGATAAAATTTTGAGACATAGAACAAGGTTATAAAGTTAGGAAATTCCTGTCCCCTTGCCACTTAATAAAGGTATGTTTTTGAAAGACAAAAAAAAAAAAGATTTCTATTAGAAGTCATGTGTGTTTTTCCACATTCTTTAAATGGTTCATGTATTTTCATGGCTTCAGTTTTCTAGTGGAAGTGATATGGTGGTTTGGATAATTATCTTAATAAAATGGTACTTTTAAGTCCCTTGACTTAGTAATATAAAGAGAGGTATATGAGGACAACAGCATAATTTAATTACACACTTCAAAAGGATAGTTTTCTAACAAATAGAATTTTTTAAACATGGAATGTTCTACATTGGTGTGTTCCCAATCCCTGAACCTATTTCAAGAATCGTCATGGAGGCACTTTTCAAAACATTGATAGAAAATATTTCAGGATGGGATAAGCTAGACCAAGATGCTATTTCATTTTAATCCGAGATGGGTTCACATTCCTTCAAGAACTTTAGCCCAAAAATCTTTGCTTAATTCTAATGGAGATACTGATAGGAAGTGATTAAGAAGCCACTAGTGCTTTTAGTGGTTTCAGTGCACAGGCCAGAGAGGTTAAGATCTAGGAAAGATTCAAAGCATTTTATTCAGGAAAGCAAAAATGTTTTGGTAAATGACATTTAAGAAATGCTATTTCCTATGATTGTAGAGTTTTTTTTTTTTTTTAAATCAGTTGCATATGTTTCTATGAAGACACATTGTGACATATTTCTAAAGCCAACAGAAACAACCATCAGTTCTTATGACAGCTGGTGCCCCACTCTAGTGTGTTCTAGCAAACACTCTCAGATCCACTGATAAAACTTGGAAGAACAAGATCTCGTATTTTCCCCTATTTATACGGGGCCCGAGGAGGAAGTTTTTAAAGGCAAAGAAAAGTATAGTATCAACTGCATCTACTTGAAACCATTACAGTTGTGTTTGTAAATGTGAATATAGCTACACCGACCTGTAGCTTTTATTCAACTATAAATATACAGTTCTTTGCTATTTGTTTCACGGTATTTTTTTTTATTTGTTGAACTACACAGGCTTTTTCTTTTATTCATTTTACCATTAACTTTACCCACTTTGGATAACATTGACATTTTCTCAGGTTCACCATCATATCTGTATTACTTACTAAGATAAAAATAAAATTTCCTATCAAACAGAGAGAAAAACTCAATCTAAAAACTGGTACTGTATTCAATATTTCAAAATTGATATTGGTTGACAGGCAAAGATGCAGATAGCCATTTAAAATATCTTTCTCATCAGTTTTTGGAAAAGGAATAAAATACTAGCCCACACTTTTACTTTTCTAGACAGAATCATTCTGTCTGAGGCCATGTGAAGAAGTTTACTCATTCTGAGAGCAAGATTTAGCACATACAAAGGAATGCATGCAGAGGGTTATGTTTTAGAGTAACTCTTATTTATTTATTTTTTTACTTTTATATTGAGACAGTCTCCATGTGGTTCAGTCTGTTGTGGAACTCCATACATAGTCCAGGCTGACCTTGAACACATAGTCTTCCTGCCTCAGCCTCCTGAGTACTGGGAGTGTGGGTGTTCATCACCACGCCCAGTTAGAGTAACTCTTAAATGTGGCTAAGTCAACTTATTATAAAAAGTTGAATTTGGGGTTTTTTCCCCTTTTCTTGTAGTATCCAGACTTTTGTGATGTTTTTGTATTAAAGATATTCCTTGTGTTTCATAATTATAACTGGACAGGAACTCAAGGATCTTATAGTTATTGACATAAACAAGCATATCATCTCCTAACTCATTCAATTTTACATTGGTTCTACTTGTTTTTGTACTGATTTTCAAATTAACAAAATATTCATAAGACTACTTTCTTTGGATTTCATATGTAGAAAGGGAGTATAACATATTGAATAATAGTGCAGTTTCTAAAGTCAAATTATCGTTTCAAATCTCTGTTCTGTCATTTGTTAGTTGTATGACCATGGAAAAGTCACTACACCTTTCTACGGCCTAGCTTCCTATTCTGTAAATTGGAGTTATTAATGTTGCTCAGATGAAATGAGTTAATACTTGAGAGTGCTGAGCACAGTTTCTGATATGTACATAACAATATTCACCGAGTGATATTACTAACAGTACTTATTCACAAGGTATTACTTTATAGTTATAATTATCATTTGCTTTCAAAAGATTTAACACAATGTGTTATGACAAAATTTCAAAGGTTTTGGTAGGGGAGAATGCTCATAGAAAAACCATCTTTACTAACTCTAGCAATAAGTTAACATATATGGGGTGCAAACTGGATGCACGAGTCCAGGGGTCAGGTATTGCTGACCTATGTAGGTAAGATAAAGTTCTTTGGTGCTAAATTAGATGTTTTTTAGATGACTTTCCATAGTCCTTCTAGATCACAAATACATATGTCAGTATGTATACAACAGGCATAAATCAAGATTTTTACTAAGTTTATGAACTTAATTTGAAAGTCTCATAGATATTTTTGAAGTCAAACAGATATAGTTCAAATAAAATTTTGCTTTGCCCATTTATAAAGGTGATGCTAATGTCTGTTGCGCAGAATTCTGAAGATTTAATAAAAAAGAGTAAACATAATATCCATCATCAATAGATATTAATCTCTTTCCTATAAATTGGTTACCTCCTTGTGAATCCCTGGAATCAATTCTGATTTACCACCACCACCAATAATGACAATGCCCCTAATAAAACTGAACTGACTCTTCTAAATGCAGTGGACCTGGATTTGGCTGTGTGGAACCACAGGTCCTGATGTCATCTGGGTAAGGGAAACAGAGGCTGAGAGGATGCTGGGGGAACTGATAGGAAAGATACTTTTTCAGTTTCTGGTCACCCAGGAGCTTCTTATACTTTAGGGAACAAGTAACCCAGCTAAATATAGCTGAGAGGTTGGTTGGTTGTCAATAGTTTTTAAAATGTATTGAATGCTAGCTGCTAGTATGTACACAGGAGGAGCCTGGCCCTAAAATCTCCAGTTTCTCTAGAAACATCAGAAACTCTGTTTCATTAGTCCTCCCACATAATGTGAGTGCTGTGACTGAGAGCTGCTGCCCCTTCAGACTGCGCGCACTCTTGCATTCTTACTGGGCCTTTGCAGGCCTTGAGTTGTGACACCTAACTTTCAAGAATGAGAGATCCTCCTCCTCCTGGATCAGTTGATGACATCTTGATAGTTAAAATTATCTTGCAACTTTTAAGTACAAATGATTGTGAGGAAAATTTCTGAAAGCCAGGTCAGTTTTGCAACAACTACATTCATGTACTAACAATAATTAGTTCCTTAAAGGAAAGATTCATATTTTTTGTGATTTTTAATTGCTGTCTCTCTTTTCAGGGCTTTATTGAAAACAAACAGAATTTTATGATTTTGGTTGTTGTTAAATGAATTACAGATGATATTATTAGCAAACAAAATGAGAATGATATGCTTTTAGATGTTAATAAGCAAATGCAAGTTAAATGTAAATTAATATATTCAAATATTTAATACCTCTTAATTCACTTAAAATATTTTGTCCATGGGGGATTATTAGGTATTATACTCAGAAACTTTACTCGTGCAATGCTTTGTTGTCTTAGCCATTGTCAGTTGCTAAAATGTTTGAAAGTATGTGTAATAGATTGTATAAGATGAGTGAATATTTTGTGTTTAGATTTCATGAATAATTGCCAATTATTTTGAAGCTTTGCTTTCTTTCCTTCCTTCTTTGTAGTGTTGTCTGTGTTGGTGGAGATGGATCTGCTAGTGAAGTGGCTCATGGCTTGCTTCTTAGAGCCCAGAAAAGTGCTGGGATGGAAACAGACCACATCCTAACTCCTGCCAGAGCACAGCTTCCACTTGGATTTATACCAGCAGGCAAGAGAGTGGCCACAGATTTGTCAGTGTACCCCCTTCCATCATTTCCTTGCCTACTTCCTAACCTAAAAAGTATAACACCAGTTGAATGTTCATACTTTGAGTCTGAAAGAGCCACACTGGACTAGTGGCATCTCCACTAGCAAATGTGGAACTTGGGACAAGTTATTTAATCATCCTGAAGTTCATTTTTCTACTCTATAAAGTAGGGATAACCCATAATGTTTACTTCATTGTAAGGTTGTTATAGTATTAAATTAGCTGGTGTGTAGGAAGGGTTTAATACAGTTAATTAATAGATGGAATTATTATTCAAAACAAGGCCACTCCAGTCAAGCTGTTTACAATTTCACTTGAGGTAAAATGTGGAACTCAGGTAATTGAAATGTAGAGAAGCTTGAGAATACCAAAAGATTTCTTTTGCCCTGAGGAAAGATCTGGATCCTGGAGGGTTAGTTCCTTCAAAGCCGGACTGGATATCTTTCATCCATGACCATGTCTCTAGTACCTGGAAGAATATGACACGGGGAATGTGTAACAACATTTATTAAGTGAATATTAGGAAGAAGACTTTGTAGAAATTAACACTTGAATTCTGCCTTAAAATCCTGATATATTAGGATATATCCTGATCTTAGCTATAAAAATAATAAAAAATAATTGAAAAAACCAGTACTTTTTGAGTAATAGAAAACAGGCCTTGGATGAAAGATAATGGTGTCAAAATTGGACAGACCATAGACATACATACATGCTTGCCACAGGAAGGGGACTGAATTATATTTGAGACGCAGTAGGGAAATACAAAGTGTTTCGGGTCAAGGGAGCTTGTTCTAGGAAGATTCATTTTGTACCAACATGAAGAATGATTAGCAGAAAGGGGCAGGAGAACACAGAGGTCAGAGCCAAGAGGTGAGAATGAGACTGTGTTCTAGAAAAGAAAATATCTTTTATGTTATATAATTCACTCACTCCAATATTTAAATGAAGAATAGTGATGGAAATTGGTTATTTTTTCAATTAAAACACAACATATACTGTTATTAAAGAAAAGCAGAAAAATATTTTTTCTTTGTGAAAAATATAACACAGGGGTGAAAGAAAATTAAACATCCTGTTTGGTAACCATATTCATTTAGTATGGATTTCAGTATATTTAGTATTGCTATTAAAGTGACAACAAAAGAGATCCAATTGCCTTTTTAGAATATAAAGTATTTCATAAATGTATGTACAGTATTAGGATATATCCTGATAATTGTACAGTATATATAGAAAATCTATGATGATTTCTAAGAAGAAGATAATATGACCTTGACTGTAAGAGGAAAAGAAGTAAAAAGTGCATTTGGGGCCATTGTTTCATGTCATTTTATTTTTTTGACTTTTTAGTGTCATTCTAGTGGTTCTGAGGGCAGTTAATGGAACTTTTCCATAATTTCCCTTGATGCAAAGTGGAAGAGCTTAGGTAACCCAAGTTCTTCATTAGTACTTAAATTCTTGAGGCCATTCATTAACTATAAGTATCAGAGGTAGAAAGAGGGTATCCCAAGAAGTTTGCATTTGACATTAAGTAGGTAGCTGGTCATAAAAACTGGCTTATATGCTTAAGATGTAACTGATTTTATGAAGGAATAGCATTGAGTTATCATTTTAAAACACATTTCTGATTTTGAAGATATCCTGTATATTCTGTGGTTATTAGTAGAAATGCTATTGTAGTGCTTTTTGTTTAGAAGACACCGTATGTTGCCAGAACTCTGGTTGTTGTATAGGAGTTCCAGCTTACTAATTTCATCCAATAGAAGTTGAAAATCAAGTGTGGGCTATATTTAATGAGGACTCAGTGCCTAGACAGGAAGTTTCCAAGCTGAGCATGAGGACACAGTCTGCCTTCAAAGCAATTTGCTCTTGGAGAGAGGCACCCAGAGGGACAGTGTTTAGAAATTACTCCACTGAGCCAACAGACTAAGCCACTGAATTATGGTTAGACCAAATGGATCAGATGTGGGGAAGCCTGTATTTGAACTACTGGCCATTAAGAATGGTGTTAGTTGCTATGGGAACTGGTGCTAAGGAACTATACAGAGAGACTCTGATTAAAAGTGCAGAGGGGGGAGGAGAAAAGAGTCTGAGAGGACATAAAAATAAAAAAGCAATCCAGCTGTTGTAAAACAAGGCTCAATCCACATACTGATGGCTGTGAACCATATATTCCTATAGAGTTTGCATAAATAACTTCCTGCTTTCCAATTAATTTGAGGAGAATAAAATATTGCCAAGGGACTATTAATTTCTATGATATTTCAGGCAAAGAACCAAAATGTAGGTGCCATCTTCATGAGAATTTTAGATATGCTTGACTAGGAAGTCATTACATCACATTTATCTGTTTGGATGTGGGAGACATTAACAGCCTTATGAATATTCATGGTGTCTGGTTAATTAAGTTAATTGTTCTGCAGAAGTGCTTGCACTTCCAAGGACAATTTTTTCTTTCTTTTTTTGTTTTGGCTTCCAAGATTTCTGTCTGGTATGTTATCAGTCATGTTTTATGTGAACTGCTGCTGTGTCCTAAGTCTGTATTTGGCATGTTCTAGCATGTCTGAGGAGGGAGTGATGGGCAAAGTTACTGGTAGTGTTAAGAAAAATAACTTTTGGGGCTGATTAAAATGTTTACCTTGAGGTAGAGCATTTATAGCTTTTGTGAGCCCATTAAAATCGCACCGTTGTTATTTATGTGAGCAGCATGTACTTTTGGTTCGTGGACACCTCTTCAGAGTAAAATTTCCTGAAACAAAATGTGATCCATAGCTTTCAGATTATCTGAACAAAAATACAGAGCTATCTATGACTTTGCAATTTTACATGAGCTTTCTCATGAAATTTTCTTTTTTTCTTCAGAACATAAAATTTATCTTCACAGATTAAGGTGTGCATTAATAAGGAGATGACTAAAACAATTTTCTGACTTCTGGTCGTGCTGATACTATCTCCCTGATTCTAGAGAACCAGGGAGAAGTTGCAAAGCCTGCAAGGACAGAAAAATAAAATCCATCTCTAGCCTTCCAAAAAGACTTGGGCTTGAGCTTATTCTTCATGTTTCAGTTTACTGGGGAGTAAGCACTCTTTATTTTCTTGAGTCATGATATGTGTTCTCTATTGCACATGGCAAAATTACATTATATTTTTTAATAGCCTTTCTTAGGAATGCTTTTATGGACATCTCCTAATTAACCATAGTAATGGAGGAAATGTATTTCATGGAGTACTGTCATCCACGATACTCCTAAATATCTCACTCTAATTTTGTGGTTGCCTCCAAAACTTTTACCATAAATCTGATTAGGAAGAAAAACAGATTGATTTGTTTTCTCTTTTTCCTCATACTCATTCTGAAGGAATTAGCAATTAATCAAAGGGCAAGCAGTAAAAGGTCAAAAGACCACTGGAAAGACCCGGGGAAAGAGTCACAGCAACAGGTTTATAGGTCTTGTTCTCAAACTATGGAGTCTAGGGAATCCCCTCAAGAACTTGCTAAAACAGACACCTGGGTCTCTACACACATGCACAGCACAGCACATGTAAATTCAATGTATGAGTTGGAGGTGAAACTCAGGGGTTTGCATTTTTAACAAGCTCCCAGGTAAGGATACTGCTGATTAATAGAGCATGTATCTCATATGGGCATACAAGTCACCTGGAATCTTAAAAACTGCATACTCTGATTCAGTATGTTTGGTTTGGGCCCTGAGAGTCAATATTTTTTAAGTAAATAATTTTTCCCATCAAATACTGATTTAAACTCCTTATCCTTATTTATTTTTAAGTTGGCATAAAATGTGTACATATTTAACAGATACAACCTTTGAAATATGTAGACATCATGGAATGGCTAAATCAAGTTAACTAACATTGGGTAACACACATACTTATGTTTTGTGAGAACACTAAAAATCTGTTTTTAACAATTTTCAAATATGTAACATATTAATTATAGTGCCATGTCATACCATATAGCTCTCCTGATCTTATTCTTCATAACTCAAATTTTGCATTCTTTGATGGTCATGTCCCCAGACTTCCCCTCCACCAGTTCCTGGTACTGTGGATTTTTACTTTCTACCTCTGTGAATTTGATTTTAGTTTTTTAGATTCCACACATAAATGATATCATGCAGTATTTGTCTTTTTGTGCCTGGCTTATTTCATCTGGCAAAATGCCCTGAGGTTCATTCATGTTGTCACAAATGACCAGAATTCCTTCTTTTAAACGGAATCATGTTCCTTTGTGAATATATGCCATATTTTCCTTATCCATTCACCTGTTGATGGACATTTAGGTTGATTCTATATGTTGGCTATTGTGAATAAGAGTGCAATGAACATGGGGGGTGCAGATATGTATTCAATCCCAATAGTAGGATTTCTGGATCATATAGTAGCTCTATTTTCAATTTTTTGTTTCCCATTGGAGTTGTACCATTTTGCATTCCCACCAGGATGCAGAGTTCTAATTTTTCTACATCTTGACTGATTTTATTTCTGTAACAGCCATACTGATAGATGTGAGATGATACCTTTTTATGGTTTTAAGGTGTATTCCCGTGATTAGTGATATGGAACATTTTTTCATATACCTGTATCTCTTCTTTGGTGAAATGACTCTTCATAATCTATGCCCATTTTTTAAAATCAGGTTATCTGTCATCAAATTTGTTTTTGCTGATGAGTCATCTGAGTTCCTTATTTGTCATCATTGTGCTGCAAATCACATTTCAGTCAGTTACATAGCTCATATGGTAATATTCCATATGATTATAACAAAGATGAAAATTCCTGTCCTAGTGAACAGGTAGCTAAAGAGACAGGAGATAAGGAAACTGAAGAAATAATAAAAAAAAAAAACCAAGAAAATTCACAGAAAGCAGGTAAGGAGAAGCTTTTTCAGATCCTTACAAGCTCCTACATAGGTTGAGATCATAGGCATACCACTACACCTAGCTTCTTGGTTGAGAAAAGGTCAACCAAGGGTCTTGCTGACTTTTTCTTGTCCAGGTTGGCCTTGAGTTGGAATCCTCCCAAGTAGCTGGAATTATAGACACAAGCCACTGCACCTGGCCCCAGTCTCTAATTCTATTAAAGAGACTAATTTTTGACTACTGTATTTTCTTGGTGTCTTTGTGGAAAATCAGGGTTTAAAAATTTTTTTTCCTGGGTTTTGTATTCTGTACCATAGACCTATGTGTCTTTTTATGACAGTAACATGCTGTTTTGACTACTATAGCATTACAGTATATTTTGAAGTTAGATAGTGTGACGACTGCATCTTTGCTCTGTTTTGCTCAAGATGGCTTTAGCTACTTGGGGTCTTTTGTGATTCCATATAAATCTTAGGGTTTTTTTTTTTTCTATTTCTGTGGGAAAACCATTAAAATTTTGAATTGCATTGAATCTTTTGATAGGATTGTTTTGGGTAGCATAGACATTTTAGCAACATTAATTCTCCCAATTCATGAGCATGAGACATCATTCCATTTATGTGTGTCATCTTCAGATTTTTTTAAATCAGTCTTTTGTAGTTTTCAGTGAACAGATCTTTTATGTCCTTGGTTAAATTTACTCCTAAGTATTTTTTTTTTGTAACTATTGTAATGTTTTTATTTGCTTAGTTTCTTTCTCAGTTTGTTGTCAAGTGTATAGAAACACTGCTGATTTTTGTATAGTGGCACTCTATCCTGCAACTTCACTGAACTAATTTGCACAGTTTCTTTGCTGTAGTCTTTAGGGTTTTCTATCCCTATCTACAATCATGTTGTTTGCAACGGTGACAACTTGACTTCTTCCTGTCGATTTATTATTATTATTAATTGTTTCTCTTGACTAACTGCTCTGGCTAGGACTCCCAGGACTATTTTGAATAGAAGTGGTGAGAGTAGGGATCCATATATTGTTCCAGATGAGCACCGACATTTTAATAAGCACTCAGATGTTTTCATTCCTGCTTGACTATGGACCATAGTCTGCATAATTAGTCTTTTGGTGAATCAGCTAGAATTAGTTTACCAATTGGCTAAGATGAACTTTTCTTTGCATTGTTATTTCTAGAGGTCTTAATTACATTCATTTATTATTAGTAATTAAAGTGCATATTAATGGCTAGTGCCTAGATAGGTGCCTAATAAGAATTATTATTTTAATGACATCTTGGTTAATAATAGCTGGGCGGCCTCAGCTTTCCAAGTGAGCAGCCAAGCACATAGTCCCAGGTGACACAAATTGAAGTGACTAGGTATGACCAGAAAGAAATGCTACTAGTTAACAAAATCCAGAGGGCTCCTTGGCCTTGATGATCAATCGCACACACCACAACCATCTTCCCCAGCTATAAGCTATGGTTGCACTTCTTTCCTATATTCTTTAGTCCAAGAAAAATTGTAGCTTAATTCCCTCTCTTAATAAATTTAAATGCTTTTTGACCTCCTGGAAACGAGAAGAGCTAGCTGTTATTTTCCACTTTTGAAGCAAGCTTTTATCACAGATTTCAGGCACACCAACTTTATAGGGCCTAATTCGGAGAGTTTTTCTCTTTGTAGGCTGGTGGGGAAAATCCTTACAGGTTTCAGATTATCCTAGTGATTATGAAAGTTAGAAATTATAATGACTCACAAACAGATTTTTTTACACCATAGCAAATATCATAAAATTAACTATTTTCTTCATATTGAAAGGCATTTTTTCCGTCAGATAATAGAAAGGAGACTTAGATGAAAATTTATCACTGAGATTCATTAAATGTATTTAGAAAATGCCTGTTGGACTTTACTGTGATAGTACATTTTTGTCTTATTGTTTGGAATTTTCTTATTTATTTATTTATGCATTTTTCTCTGTTCTTCTGAGCCATCCTTCTGTTTTTGGTGCTCATTTTGGTACAGAACCTAAAAGCCCATTCATTAAAGTTGGATGGAGTAGGCTTTGATGTAGTTAGCAATTTGGGGGATAGAAAGTAGACATTTATGAGCAAAGTAGTTATAAGTATGTAGGTAAACTTTTCTTTTTTTCTATTTTTTTTAGTACTAGGGATTATACCCAGGGCCTCATGCATGTATGGCAAGTACTTCACCCCTGAGTTAACATTCCCATCCCCATTTTAATTTTTTTATGTTACTTAAAAGTTCAAAAAATAATTCTGCAAACATTTGATGTGCATCTTTGGTGTGAAAGGATTTATACTTCCAATAACATTTTCATTAACTTTTCTGTTGTGAACTTCCACTAATTTTTTGCCTGAATATTACATAATGGAATTTATATAAAATGAGAGCAAATGTTAATTTAAAACATATGCTGGCTACACTGATAGTGCATCTTTTAACATTGCTTTGGCAGGATCTACTAACATCTTGGCACATTCTCTTTACGGAATCCCTCACGTGGTAACTGCGACTTTGCACATTATAATGGGTAAGAGTTCTTTGAAGGAAGTTTATGTTGAATAGGAAAGTTTTTATTACATAAAAAGCACGACTTTACTTCTGTCAGACTTATTTAAGGAATGGCAAGTTCTTTGTCTCTCAAAGCAGAGAAATGTTTTACTAAAACCCAAAAGTCGATTAGAAAAGCCTTCCACTATTTGGATTATGTCTCTTTTCAAAATAATTGTTCTGTAAACAGCAGCAAATGAAGTCTTACTATAATCTTGTTAGAAAACAGTAGCAATGCTCAAAATCACAACTTTATAACTAAATCAAGAAAATCCATGTATACTCTATTAGTGTACAATCTATAATTTTGTTTGTGCCAGGACTTTAGGACTAGGATCATGTCAGTAAAAGAAAATTACAAGAAAAATACTTTAATGGTGAGCATATGTAGACCACTAATTATCCCAATTAATCACATTTAAGTTCAGACAAATCCAGCACAAAACTGTTTAATCTAAGTTTATCTTGCCCATCTTCTTCAGCTTCATGTCCCCAATCATGTTTTGTATGAAACAGCAATGAATTGCAAATTTTATTGCTGTGGGTTTCTCCACTTAGCTCCTGATAAATTACAAATGTCATTTGCAGTAGTTATAGGTTAAGAGAGATAAAGTGAAACCAAGGGTATTCATTATGGCATACAGTACCTTGAAATATTCTTCTATAAGCAAACAAATATGCTCTGTAGCCCTTCTGTACTCACTGATGGACTGACTAATATTTAATATGACCTTCAAGGCCACATACAACCAGTCGATGTCTGCACTTTTAGTACCCGTGGTAAGCTGCTTCGCTTTGGGTTCACAGCCATGTTTGGCTTTGGTGGAAGAACTTTGGCTCTGGCAGAAAAACATCGATGGATGTCTCCAAACCAACGGAGAGATTTTGCTGTCATTAAGGCACTGGCAAAGCTTAAGTAAGTGTTTTTCTTAAACCAAAAATTCACTTTCCAAGGGTCAATGACTATTAATAAAAACTTTCATTGTATTTTAGGCCAGAGAATTGTACAATATCATTTTTACCAGCTAACAGCTCTCAGGATGTACTTGAGAAGTAAGTAAAAGTTCAGTGTGATGTAGATATCTGTATCTTTCTTTAAAGCCTAAAATATTTTATCATTATTCATTATACTTGTTACTTTGGTTATTATATACCAGGAAGAACATAGAATCATCAACTCTGACAGGTTTAGTAAGCATGCAGTTTGGCTTCTGTCTTCAGAAGGAACCATTAAGTCCTCCATCCATTCGTTTATTTATTTACAAGTTGTTGAATGCCTACTCTCTACCAGGCACTTTGGATATAATCATGAACCAAAAATCCACACAAGCCCCACAAGTTTGGCCCTCATGAGAATTTTAATTTAGTGTAGAATACAAATATTAATCAGAGTCACACTAAATAAGTGGTCTAGTCATAAAAAATTATAAGTCATTATTTTTGTAATACTTTTCTATCTTCAAATTATTTGATACATTATGATGCTGACTATAACAAAATTATACACATATTTTTCCTATCAAAGAAAATATTTCCTATATGAACTAATGGGCTCTATACATTCCTATATTTAATAGATTCACACAAAATAGATCTCATATTTTTTTGTGTCTATGTAACATGTTTTTGTCTCTTTGTTTTCTTACATTTAGACAGGTACAAGGACCTCCCAAATCTGGTGAGTCCAAAAGTATCTCCTTAAGACCTGAGCCAAATTCTACTGATGTTTTGCTGGTGAGGGAAAGTAGCCAGTCACTTCTGTTACCTTTAGACTCTAGTGATCAGTGGCAAATGATCCAGGGTCAGTTCTTCAATGTGAGCATCATGGCAATCCCTTGTCTGTGTTCAGCGGCACCTGCAGGTCTGGCACCTAACACCAGGTTAGTAAACATTTTTATTGAATCCCTAATATTCCTTTTTTAACCCATTTTTTTCGTTCAAAATACTCAGCTACTCTTGGCTAACTAGAAACTTATCAGGAGGTGATCTCTCTTTGTGTAATTTTGAAGCCTCTAAAGGACTTGTCAGCTCAGTAGGTTGAGAATAACCGTTGAGCTGAGAAAACTGTCAGATAACCAATGGCTAATATCGCTGAGGCCTAAAGAATAGTCCTTGGGTTTTATTGACATAATTTTGTTCTTTTATGCCTCCTTTGCTTGTTTCATTGATTTATATTTATTTTCTAGTTGTTGAAAACATTACTAAATTCTGGTGTTTCATGTGACTGTCTCTGCTTTGCAAGTAGCGAAGATTACAGGAGTGAGCCACCAATGCCTGACAGTTTGCAACATTTTTAATGATTAGTTTTAATTTCCTTGCAGAATTTTTATCCAGAATGATTAACAGTTAGAAATGATTTTTCTACCTTTAAAATGATTCCTTGGAAATCATTTCCTTGGGAAACTAATATCAAAGTTATAAACAGGGAAATACTCAAAATTAGAGAAGAAAACAATGACTATCAACTTTCACAATAAAAACCAAGACTGCAAGATACATAATAATCACACTTAGCATTGAAACATGGACGGCATATCTTGAAGCTTTTATGATTCGGAATTGTTTCTACTCCACATCTTCAGGAATCCTAGATAGCTGTGTGCTTCCCTAATCCAATTTCCTCCACTAACCACTAAGATGTGGCTGGCTGAGGAACTGTGTTCTGTAGGAGCCTAGGCAATGTCAGTCTAACCCTGCCTGCTCAGGGCCTTGGTGGGGGGAAGAAGTCACACCTCCTTTAAAGCCTGTCCACAAAGGTTCTACTTGCCTAGGTTCCACTGCTGACTCTCTAGGTTTAATCAATATTGATGAGTTTTCTCAGAAAAGGATGACTAGAGATTTCTTCTGTGGGTCATTGTTAACACATGCCATTTTTTGCAAAGGCCTTTAAATTGGGCCTAAACTGACCAAAGATTTTAAAAAATGTAGTTTCTGAGTGACTCAGGATAATGAAACAGCTTTCCCCTCTGGCCCCCATAGTGTTTAATTTTCTTCAAGATAATTTTAGTACAAAAAATTAGGAACTAATATTCTAAGTATTCTAAGCTTAAATGTATTAATATATGTGAACTATTTAGAATAGTGCCAGGTACATAGGATGTGTTTCAAAACTTACTAGTAAATATTGAAAAGTAGACATAGGTAATGATTCTCATGTTTATAAAATCACACAATAAAGAAAAAGGATGTGTAGAAATTAATACTACGCTGAACATTTTGATGGGGCTTGTTTCAGGGGGAAAGAGGTGGCATAGCAGACAGAAGGTATATTGGACCCTGGCAATTAAGAGCTCTGGTACTGGTAGTCATTTTGGTTTATTCTGTGTGCCTTATACACTTACACCAGGGCTGGTCTTTTCCTTCTATATAAAATGAGTAAATGACAAGAGGATCTCTAAGGTCCCTCACAGCTCCAACTTGATCCTCCAAAAGACATAAAGAGCTCTTTTTTAATGTTGTTGTTATCCTTGGAATAACTTCATGTTTGCACTGAAATCAAGCTTGAAGTCATTTACATGTATTTCTGCAAAATGCTTTCTAAAGCTCATGCATTTGTAAGGAGCTGTTTTGGCAGGACATCACACCTCTGAATTTCTAGTCTCTTATGTTGGAGGGTATAGTTACACAAGATTAAAATGCTCAGTCATTTAACCGAACATGCGGCAGCAGGTGTTCACTCCATTCCATCCACTTGGGGCATTTAGATTTCTTTCATTTCCTATGTCATTTAGACCTTCTGCCCGTAAATAAATATTTAAGTTACAGTTTAGATTTTAGAAAATGTTGAGCTATGTGCTACTATGTTTATACATATTAACTATTTTAAAAATTTAGTTTCACATTTCAAATTCTTAAATAATTACAGTGGGTTTTAAATCATGTCTTGATGTGAGTAGGGTGCATGATGGTTCATTTTTTAAAAGATCTCTGATGTAAAATCTTGCTGAGAAAGAAGCTCATAGTCTAGTAAAACTAATTAGAAAGGCTGCTTCATATAACAATAACACAGCAAGGTATAGCTTAAGAATTTTAGGTAAATTTAATATAGTGCCCCATACTTCTAGTAAGCAATTTATTTGTTATTAAGAAATGATATGGAGTAATTTCTGATGCAATCTCTTCATAAACTTCTTAATGTCAAATTCAATTATTTAATTTCAGATTAAATAATGGAAGCATGGCTCTTATAATTGCACGAAACACTACTCGGCCAGAATTTATAAAACACCTGAAAAGATATGCTAGTGTGAAAAATCAGGTATAGTAAGTTCTTTTTGTTATTTATTTGCAAAGCTATTAATCATGAAAAGATACTGCAAGAGCGGACATCAATGTCTTGTCTCATAAGAAAGCTGTATTTTGGTCTGAATACAATAATCTTTTTTTTTTCCAATGTGTTTTATCCAAATTTTGAAAAGCACACATCAATTTAATATAGATTTTTCTTTTTGAGATATAGGTTACACAATTGTCTTGCACAAAGAAAATATAAAAAATGTAATGTTATATTGAAATGTGAAGGAAATTAAGAATGCAATTGCATATTTAGTTGTAGTGAAAAACTGAGATTTTAGCCCTATGGAAGTTTCAAATTTTTGATGTTTAGAGTTTCTCCTGACATCTGTTTGCAGATATGTCTATGTTCATTGATTACAAGATATTTGCAGACATGTCTTCTTAAACACACTTTTTATAGACAGTATTCAATTCTATAGCATGTAGAGAGTATTTCCACTGATGTGAATAGCTTTAAAGAGGAATGGTGATGAGTATAAGCCATGGTCTTCTGGCAGATACTTTGACCCAGCTGTTAGTTCACAGGTGTGAGGATATGTAACCTCACATATTCTTAATACTGCTTGCATGTTTTCAGGAGAGAACAAGTGGGCAGAGGTGATAGCAGCTGCACTCTGCAAACATACCATAGTCATTGTGTAAGCTTTCTATAAAATTCCATTGTGTATAAATACCACATTTTCTTAATCTATTTGTCAGTAGTGGGGCATCTTGGCTATTTCCATAAATTGGCTATTGTGAATAGCACTGCAATAAACATGGGTGTACAGGTGCCTCTGGAGTAACCTGTGTTGCATTCCTTTGGGTATATCCCCAGGAGTGGGATTGCTGAATCATATGGCAGGTCTATGCTTAGATTTTTAAGAAGCCTCCAAATTTTTTTCCAGAGGGGTTGCACTAGTTTGCATTCCCACCAGCAGTGTACGAGGGTTCCTTTTTCCCCACATCCTTGCCAACACCTATTGTTAGTGGTGTTTTTGATGATGGCTGTTCTAAAAGGGTGAGGTGGAATCTTAGTGTGGTTTTGATTTGCATTTCCTTTATAGCCAGAGATGGTGAGCATTTTTTCATGTGTTTTTTGACCATTTGAATTTCTTCTTTTGAGAAAGCTCTGTTTAATTCAGTTGCCCATTTCTCTATTGGTTCATTAATTTGGGGAGAGTTTAGTTTTTTAAGTTCCCTGTACATTCTGGTTATCAGTCCTTTGTCTGATGTTTAGCTGGCAAATATTTTCTCCCACTCTGTGGGTGGTCTCTTCAGTTTACAGACCATTTCTTTTGTTGTGCAGAAGTTTTTTAATTTCATGTAGTCCCATTTGTCCATTCTTTCTCTTAGTTGCTGAGCTGCTGGTGTTCTATTGAGGAAGTCCTTGCCTATACCTATTACTTCCAGAGTGTTTCCTGCTCTCTCCTATACTAAGTTCAGAGTTTCAGGTCTGATATTTAGGTCCTTGATCCATTTTGAGTTGATACTAGTACAGGGTGATAGACATGGATCTAGTTTCAGTTTTTTGCAGGCAGATAACCACTTTTTCCAGCAACATTTGTTGAAGAGCCTGTCTTTTCTCCACCAACTTTGTTTTCTTAATCCAAAGGCAATATACATTTGTTGTTTTAGAGTCAGAAAACAGGAACACAAAAACAATATAAAAAGCATTCAGAATTCCTTGTTTGTAGGGAGAATTAGTATGACTATGTTGGTACAGATTTTTAGGGCAAGGGCACAGCCTGATGACCACGTTGTTAACTGGATTATGTTTATGAAGAACATCCTTCAAAATAAGGTGACATTCACAAGTGCCAGGGGTTAGGACTTCATATTTTTGGGGTGGAAGGACATAATTTAATTAATAGCCTCAGTTATTGAAGACTCACTTAAAACATATGATCTTTAAAGTGAATCATTATATAGAAATTTCTAGAAGTACGATATGTGACCCCAAGGCTTTCCACTGGAGGGAGGAAGTCTAATGTAGTGACTATCACACTGTTTCAGAGTTGGGCTCGTTCCACAGAGAACAGCTTTGAGCTCTCTAACTCTACCCCAATCAGAACAGCTGATGTCACCATATAATCTACTGCATAATTCACTATTGTAAAGTTAACACTGTAAAATATGCTGGACATGGGTTTCTACACGTTTTCTATCAACTTTTTAAATTCTGTGCTTCACTGAGATTTGTATGTGGAAGGATGGGAAAAGCTATATGGAGAATACATTTACTAGGGAGAAATCTCATGGCATTTGTCTGATAACTGAGGTGAGTAGTTATTGTGCACTTCCATGAAAATTGCTTGGCTATGTTTTCTTTATTATGTTAGAGAAAGCACAGTATTTTTTTTCTTACAGTTTCCCTAGTCAAGAAGAAAACTTGCAAGTTTAAGGTTACCTTCCACCATTCTAAAATGGTCAATGAGCAAACATCTTCCAACTTGTAACCTCATTCTTAAAATGGGTGGGGTGGAAGCAGCCAAACACCTGTGAAAATCATATTTGATTGGCTTTCTCTTTTAAGAGAAGATATACTTCTGATTTCATCTCGATAAAGCTTAGACCTAGTCTCTTTCAAATTCAACTCCAAGCAGAACTTACACTAGAAAGTGTAGCATGCTAGCTCAACTGACAACAATGAAGTGAATGAATAATATATAAATCTTTTGTATCAATAGACCAGTATTAAAGAAAGAGTCAGTATTTAATTGGAAAATTATCTTTACTATAATTTTTCATAGACATGAAGTATTCGTCATACAACAAGATCTATTGTTATGCAATAGATCTAATTGAGCCAGAGAAGCCTCAGGAAAGAGAATTCCTTCCAAAAAACCCCCAAAACTTGGGGATCCCTGGTCATAGAGTTCCAAAACTATAAAAATGTGAGCATGCACAGAGATACATATTTTGAGAGGGAGCTCAGTGAACTTTCTTGATTTGCACTAGCAGTTTGAGGTAAAGCAAGTATCATGATTACTTGCATTTGTTTTATTTAGTTCAGTTTTCCATTTGTTGAGACTTACACAGTTGAAGAAGTAAAAGTTCATCCAAGGAATAATCCTAATGGACACAATCAAGAAGAGGGTGGACCTCACGAAACTGCTTCAGAAAGCAGTTTCCCTTGGAATGTAGATGGTGATTTAATGGAGGTTGCAACAGAGGTGCATGTTAGGTAAGTCTAATTATTTCCCCACTTTCTATGTGGACCAGTAAACATAACACTAGTAATCAAGTTTGCCTTATTTCAACTATCAAAGTAGGTAGTAGGGTAATTTAAAAAACAACAATAAATCGGGGAAACATAAAGAAATACATGTGCAACTTTAAATAAATAAAAAAGCATAACTTTATTTACCAATCTAATGTAGAGCAAAGACATCTTTGGCTGTAAGTCTCTACATTGGTATTTCAAGTTATCATTCTTGAAATACAGATGTGTCTCAATTTCCATTTCGGGTTTTCAGAAATGGATCAAGATCTTAAGCCTTTATGAGAGGTAGATTGTCACAGTCTTTTTAGTTTCCTCTCACCCAGGCTCCAATACCATTATACTTTGTAAACACTTTATAAAAGCAAACTGCCGAATACAAAGCATTAAACATACTTTACATAAGAACAATTTTACATATGATTTAATGAAGTTTCAAAGGCAACTGTACAGTTTTAGGTTTAGGGACATGTAGACTCATTCTTGGTAATCATTATGACAATGGGCAGAAGTGGGCAGGGTACCCACCAGGTGTGCGTGTTCTGTAGGAGAGCATTTATCAGTCCAGGAGGCTGGTTATGAAGCTTGGAAATAATTACTTGTGTTGATTTTCCAGGCTCTTCAGTTTGCTAGATTGTTATTAATTTGCATGTGGTATACCTTTTGGGTATATGTGAAAAATAATGGTATATTGATGAAATTAATTATTCATATTATTTTTTTTACAGATTACATCCAAGACTTATCAATCTTTATGGAGGAAACCTGGAAGAAGTGAATGATTCCAATGTAACATGTAATTGTTTATAAAAAGAAATGTGAAAGCTAGAATTCTAATACGAAGGAGTTTAGTCATGTTTTAAACAAATACCCAAATATAAAATGTATTTTTTAAAGAAATTAAAATAGCTATTTTTGATGTTATAGGGCTTTGAAAATCAAGATGAAACATATGAAATGTATCAAAAGCAATTCAAATTCTGGCTTTGAGTTGGTTAAATATTGATACAATGCCTAAGAATATGAAATGCTTATTTTTGGTTCCAGTAAACATCAAGATAATGCCAAAGTGTAATCATTTGGGTTCTTTTACATTTGTAGGATTTCAGCCTATGAAGTCTGATATGACATTGCTTAAGTCTACTATGACTTTACAAATGAGGTAAGTAATCCAGAGGAGTTTTAAAAATCACACAGCTAGTTATTTATATAACCAGAAACACTTTTTTCAAAATTTGCAGAGTGGTGTAGTTTTTAACTTATTATACAGGCAAAACATAGCCCAGTAGGTAGCTATGTTCATCTTGTATCTGAGAAACACAGGTCAAGCAATCATAGCACTTGGTTTTCAGTGTAAAGAGCCAAAGTAAAATTTCCTCAGAGTCCATCCCTGAAAGATAGTTCAAAATTAGTACTTGATGTTTTATGAATGAACCTAAACAAGTTCCTGAAATAACTACTTTGCTTTCTATAATGAGAAAAGCATTAAAATATCTTTTGTACAAAAAAATTTAGCTAAGTTTATTTTTGCTTTTTCACTCTGAGTTGAGACTTTGTGCTCAAATGATTCACAAATCTTAGAACATTCTCTGGTCACAGGCTTGTGAACAGATAGCTTTCATCAACCTGGAAATCTGAGGAAGGGAACAGCTGGTAGCAGACACTTTGTGCACAACAATCTTTTCAATCACTTCCTATACCATGTTCAAAATTTGACAACAATGTTCTTAACATGTATAAAATGAAATTATATTCTTGGTACCAACATCACATGTATGAAATAAATATTACAAAAATGGCTATAGTGGTGAATGAATTTAAAGATAAATTATTTAAAATCTAGAAAGAAGCTATTTCATCTTAAAATAGAGCCTTATTTAATATCAAAAAAACCTCAAAAATTTTTAACCACTTAAACATCTCATGGAAATTTTTTGTCACATTTATGTTCACCATACACAAGCTAAAACACATTAAATGCTGATATTTAAAAAGAATAACATGCAAGCAATTATTTCTGTATTTTCTTAATTTGGGACAGTGAGTATTTTGTGGTACCCAATATGGATGAAATATTGGCCCCTTAATCATTGTTTGCACAGCTTTTTAAAATCACTAGTGAGGTACAGTTTTCAAATTTCTTACATATATCAGTGTATATTAGCTAAAGTGCAACATTTACAGTCAAGAATATACATTAAAATTCTTAAGAACTGAGTGTATAAACAAAAATTGAAGGTTTTTTAAAAATGTATTCTTGGATACTCTTGCTAAATGTGTGTTATAGTAATGGATTTATATCTATAATCACACCTGTATTCTTTAAAAAATATATGCATATATACAGAAAGAAAAACCCATAGCTGCCCACTTATCCAGATACTATCTCATAGCTCAAACCAGTGCATCAAATAAGCATGAAGTTTGCTCATCAGGTCTTGATAGTCAGCACATAAAAATGGTTGTTGGAGTAAAGTCCATAGAAAACGTGTTACAAATAAAGGTCTTTAAAGATAAAATATGCTTTAAAATGGTAATGGTCCTCTTTCATTAGAAAATTTGGGAATAGCCCTGTGAAAAATTGTCTCAAAGATGTATTTGAAATAAACAGTATCCCATTGCGTGGAGTTTATTTTTCATGAACAAATCGAAGGCTTTAGTGTTTTTCTACCCATTTAAGAATTACCTTTGTGCAGTTACTTTCTTTCAAAGAGCAATAGTGGCTTGGGTTTTCCCTTTGCATTATGACATATGCCCCAAGGTCCTAAGTATAAGAAGTACATGAGAAAAGTGATTAAAAAGAAAAACTCATGTTTTCTGTAAACAGTGTTTTTGTTCAACCTGAGTCCTTTCAGTTCTCTCAATTTGACAGTCTTTAATCTTCATTATTGCTTTTACTGTTGACATAACTCCAACTATCCCTTCTGTTTTCTTCTTGTAGGATAGATTTGTATTGTCTTTTAAAGAAGCCAGCCTGAAAATAGAATTATAAAAGCAGTTTGATATGTATGTGAGCATTATAACTATAAACAGTCAGCACCAATATGTCTTAAATTGTGTCCCATATAGAACTATTAGGGCTTTTCACAGATTAATGAAAATTAGCTTAGGACACACTGGTTTAAAGAAGCATTTTGTTGTTAATACAGGACTTTCACTAATAAAATCTCCCCTAGATTTACATTAAACATAATATTCAATGTTTTCCAAATTATTTTTTTAAAACAAGAATATGTCTTTCAAAACTAGTGTTACAATTTGGGTATTTATCAAAATAAGTTATTTTTTCCAGACAGACTTTGGTATTTAAACTAGAAGAAATATGAGATCGGTGTTATATATTCACTTAAAAAAGTTAACATTAAAACACTGAAATACTTAAGGAATGGCATTTTGAATAGTTTAATGCTACTGTATATTAAAGGCTTACCTTCCACATAACACATGAAATCAATGAAAGTACAATAAGTCCAAGTAGCAAGCTACTTGAAATAATCACTATAGTGAAATGACGTTTGGGTCTTTGATGATGTAGTCCTTCCAGTAGAACCTGTGTGAATTAAGCAAAAGAACATCAGTTTAGATACTTATATTTCCCTGGAAGCCCCCTCCCACCCTATAACAATTAGAACTGCCTACTCCATTTTCTTGCTGGTTCATGGCCACAGGAGACATTGGAAACTTTAGCAAATACAGTGAGTGGAATGGGATTTAACCACAGCTCTCCCTTGGATCTATCGTATTCTCACTGCTACCAAATTCACCGTCCTAAAGATCTGTGTCTTTCCCTCCCTCTAGTTATGGAAAATACCATGTCTTGGTGATGGGTTCAAGATCCTTTATGACCTGGACACATTAATTTCCAGACTCAGGTACACAAAAGGAAGTAATTATAACACCCTTACAACATCGTTCCATGTAATTTTAGGGCACCGGTTAAAAGAGTATAATCTTACATATGCAACATTTTCATCCTTGTTTAGTTCAATGACTTTTGGATGTGGTTCTGGAAAAGCTGTTGCTCTTATTTCAAACTTGAGTGCTGAAGTCTCATCCTGTTAAAAAGAAACATTGCCTTATCTTGATTCATGGTTTTATCTCATGAAGAAAGGTTAATAGAAATAATTTATCACCATATTTACCTAATCTATTTCCATAGTTTGTCTACCTTAATTTACTTAATTTGTAACTAACTGCAATTCAATGTTTTCCTTTGGTTCCAAAGGTGTGGTCTTAGCATAACTTTATATGACATCATTTCATTGAAACTATTTCTAAGCATGGCTACATTGCAGATAACTTGATTTAAACATTTGTTAGACTATGATAGGAAGTTATTAGTTACCAATGTAATGTTTGCAAATATATTAAATTTTTATTCCCAAGCAAGATTTTCTTTATCTGATGAACATTCCCTCAACTTCACCTTATTTGACCATCTTTTTAGTTTTTTATAAATGAAATACATATAGTCTACTTAATATCTTAGTGAAAAAAATTCTTGTACAAATTGTAATAAAATTCAAATGTAAGATCAGACCTTTATTATCTCAAGCTCCTCCAACAAGCTTGAGGATCTGTAGATGTGCTTTACAGATTCTAACAATGAGAATATATTCTTCAGATAGATTCTTAAAGAGGTCACAACCCCCAAAATACATTTTAGAGCCGGAAATAGATTACATAGGGGACAGCCAGCGAGGTCTGCAGACATCTTTGTCAGGATGTGGACGGTAATACTACCATCATCCTAATGTGTAACAGCTGAAGGTGCTCTAAGTATCCTACAGAGAGTATGATAGCACCTGACAACAAGGAATCATCTGGCCCAAAAAGCCAGTAGTGCCCACTGTTGCAAAAGGTTAAATGACTTGCTGATGGTCCCATGCCTTTTCAGAGTTGAAATTAAGACATCTCTTCCTTATCTGCCTCTCATAGCTTCCTTTTGACCCCTGTGTGGTAACTTAAAAAATCCAACTTAAAACCTAATGACTGCCATTTCCTTTGGCTTGCTATGTACCATGCCCAACTACTAATTGTGAACAAAATTCATCTGGTTTGATGTGCAACACCTCTGGGACAGAGCTATTATGCATAGTGAACAGACAAGGAAAACTGAAAAACAACTTCAGATTAAAACCAGTTTCATCTCTGGAGTAACCTGTGTCACAGTCTTTTGGGTATATCCCCAAGAGTGGTATTGCTGGATCAAATGGTAGATCAATGTCTAGCTTTTTAAGTAGCCTCCAAATTTTTTTCCAGAGTGGTTGTACTAGTCTACATTCCCACCAACAGTGTAAGAGGGTTCCTTTTTCCCCGCATCCTTGCCAACACCTGTTGTTGGTGGTGTTGCTGATGATGGCTATTCTAACAGGGTGAGGTGGAATCTTAGTGTGGTTTTAATTTGCATTTCCTTTATTGCTAGAGATGGTGAGCATTTTTTCATGTGTTTTTTGGCCATTTGAATTTCTTCTTTTGAGAAAGTTCTGTTTAGTTCACTTGCCCATTTCTTTATTGGTTCATTAGTTTTGGGAGAATTTAGTTTTTTAAGTTCCCTATATATTCTGGTTATCAGTCCTTTGTCTGATGTACAGTTGGCAAATATTTTCTCCCACTCTGTGGGTGTTCTCTTCAGTTTAGAGACCATTTCTTTTGATGAACAGAAGCTTTTTAGCTTTATGAGGTCCCATTTATCTATGCTATCTCTTAGTTGCTGTGCTGCTGGGGTTTCATTGAGAAAGTTCTTACCTATACCTACTAACTCCAGAGTATTTCCTACTTTTTCCTGTATCAACTTTAGAGTTTGGGGTCTGATATTAAGATCCTTGATCCATTTTGAGTTAATCTTGGTATAGGGTGATATACATGGATCTAGTTTCAGTTTTTTGCAGACTGCTAACCATTTTTCCCAGCAGTTTTTGTTGAAGAGGCTGCTATTTCTCCATCATATATTTTTAGCTCCTTTGTCAAAGACAAGTTGGTTATAGTTGTGTGGCTTCATATCTGGGTCCTCTATTCTGTTCCACTGGTCTTCATGTCTGTTTTTGTGCCAGTACCATGCTGTTTTTATTATTATTGCTTTGTAATATAGTTTGAAGTCAGGTATTGTGATACCTCCTGCATTGTTCTTTTGACTGAGTATTGCCTTGGCTATTCGTGGCCTCTTGTGTTTCCATATAAATTTAACAGTAGATTTTTCAGTCTCTTTAATGAATGTCATTGGAATTTTGATGGGAATTGCATTAAACATATAGATTACTTTAGGGATTATAGACATTTTTACTATGTTGATTCTACCAATCCATGAGCATGGGAGATCTCTCCACTTTCTATAGTCTTCCTCAATCTCTTTCTTCAGAAGTGTATAGTTTTCCTTGTAGAGGTCTTTCATCTCAAAAGGGCTCTTCAAAATATATATGCTCATTTATAGGAAGAAGCCCAAGTTGTATTTAATTTTTAATTTCATCTTTCCAAGTTCATTATTTAAAACATCTTGGTGTTTGATTTCAATGAAAGGTTTAATTTTACTTTTTAAAATTAAATTTAAAATATGATTTTAAGGGTAATTTAAAGCAGTTATCAATTTCTTTGATTTAATTAAGGCTCATAGATAGTTTCACATGTTTTTTAACTAAGCCACTTAATTATTCTGTAGTTATTTTAGTTTTCATACAGGCGAACTGAAAATAGAAATTAGAGTTTTATTCCAAAATTTTATTTCTATCTTTATCATTTGTTGAATGCCTTCATGCCATCCTGTCTATATAAGATGAGTGCATTTGTAGATCATGGATGAACTTTATCACCACCACAGAGGGTATGGCATATTTTAGACTTACCATTTCCAAAATGGATGGCCGGCCTTCCAACTGGATATGAACACTGGCTTCTTTTCCACTTTCCATCTTCCCAAAATTGCATAAGAAATTTAAGCAGTGTGGATCACTTTGCATGCAAAACTTGAAAAGAATATAAATGTATTATTATACTATAGTTTCCAACATTTAAAAATTAAAAATATTATATAAAATTTAAAAATATCTTTAGTGGCATTTTGAAAATTGTCTCTACATAAACACAGAATTAAATATCTCTTTTCCTGTGTGGCATTTAAAAATTATCTTGCTTTAAATAAAACATAAATGTTTGTTTTGTAAATTCTAACAGAAGCCAAGTGTTAAAAGTGGAGCACACATGCAGTCATTCTTAGTAACAACTGTGTGGGACAGAATGAAAAGAACAATATCTGATCAGAGTCTTGTCGAGTTACATGTTCTTTGTTTGTTGCACAACTTGGATCATTTGAAAGTGATGACTGACTGCTTTCTCAATTTCTTTTCATAAACACAGTAAGATGAAAAGAATTAAAATTAATCTCATGCCACAAAGTCTTTCCAGTGACTTGGTGTCCTGAGGGTCTCAAACCATGTCTGATTGGCAAATAAGGTGCTTGTTAGATAATGAGGACCCTACAATATATATTTAATTGTCTCATTATATTTGTTCTTTACCTTCAGCAGTGTGACCTAAACTTACGTCCTTTCTTACCACTCAGTTGACAGCTCAAATCCATTGACTTTGGTTTTAAGTGTTTTGTCTCTCTGTTGGAAAACAGAAACTACCCTCTGAAGAACTGAAACTTACCAATAGCCGCTTATCAGTCTTTGAGAAAAATTTGAATATGTCTTTCAAGATTTCCACTGTGCTCTTTTCCTGCTTGGAGGCACACTCTCTCTGGTAATTTTTAAAGTGGCATTGTCCAGAAGTTGTCTATAAAAATGGAAAGCAAAAAGAAATATTACCTTTCTGTACTGGACTACTGGAAAGAACAAAAACAACATAGTTTTGAAAGTTTCAATTGATCCTCTTCTCTAAAGTATATCAAATTTCTCTGAAGTTGTAAAAATAATTTTGGCAGAATCATTTGGGAAGAGATTCAATCTCTGTGGGAAAAATAGGAGCAAATCCCTAATAAAAGATATAGATCCTAAGCTGAAAAGATGGTCTTAACCTTACAGAAATATGAGAAGAAAAATGACATTTGAACATTAACCTGAAATTAAACATTTCATTGGCTTTACTCATAAAACAAAATGATATAATAACATGTCTGATTATATCTGGAATTCAAGTAAGATTTTTAAAAATTAGATATTAAACCTACTTAAGTAGACTTATTTGGCAATTGCTTTTTCTTCATATTGGAAGATAAAAAGAATTCTGATGGATCAATACTGGAAAATTGGTCTATAGCTAGTGATTGGAATATTTCTTTCTTTTAAAAAAATGCTCCATTCCTGATGTTCAACAATGGGTTCAAGTTTTATGGCTTCAAGCTATATTCTACCAACTAGATTATTTCCACAGGCCCATGTCACAAAGAAAAATGTATCCTAAAGTAGTTAATACAGATGATATGACAAAGTTCTATCATTATGTAAGTCAAATGAATAGGCTCTACCATAATTCTTCAGTCTAAACAATGTATAATACTAGAAGAATATTCAATATATCGTAAATTTATAGCATTGAGCATGACTGAAAACAAGTGAGCAGAACTTTCCATCTTAGCAATTTTGCTTAGAATAAAGGATCGGCTTGCATTTGTTTTAGTATTTAAAACACACAAAGATCAGGTAGAAGGAATATGTCTTTACCTGGACATCTAAAATGTTGAACAGCTTATTAGTTTGGGGTACAAAAGAATTTGGTATCATTAGGTCCACACTAACATTTGGAGCCATGCTTATGCCAGTGTTGATAACCTGAGAAAAAAATTAAACATTTAAAAATCTTTATCATAAATGTGAAGTATAGCAATCAATGAACTTTTAGGTGACTATTCAGCAGTTATGCTCAGAGAGGTTTGTAGTTGGCAGCTACATAGCAAAGACAGAATACCCATAGTCAAACTTTTAAAAATTTGCTAGTGATCTAAAACTCTACTCGTTATTTCTAACTTAATATTTTTTTTCAATCAAAAAAATCCAGGCTGATGGTTTATTGAAGAAATAGTCTTAAGAAAAATACATCAACATACATTTACATGTCACATTGTATATTTTAAAAACATCATCACTTAGTCCTCATAATCATCCTGTGAGGTAGGTCAATATTTTACAATTTACCAGATGAGGAAAATGCTAACAGGTGTTCATGATGTTCCCAAGATGAAAACTGAAAAGTAACAAGACTTGAATTCTTGGTATTCTATTTCTATTGAGAGGATAATCATCAACACTAAAAGAATAATTTCCTATTTAGGGGGATTATAATGTTAATGTATTCAGAAAATTGGAAGGAGTATATTATTGGGTTTTCAATAATAATTGGGCCCTTAATTTTCAAAAGCACATAAGGAAATAATATTTCATTATTGTTGATGATAAACCTGGGGATTAGAGATCTCTGATAAAGGACATAGGAACAAAATATTGCCAAATGGGAGATTAACAATAAAACCAATACAGAGTCAGAAAAAAGATTTGCCATAACACCTAACTAGGGCGGCTCCAAGTCCTGTAGTAGTCTTCTAAATGTATATGACATAGATGAAGAGCAAAAGTGTCCCTAGATTTGGGACAGTGGTTAACTGTGGGATCACAGAGGCACAGAGCAGTTGCAGAAGGAAACATCAGCAGTGGGGACCCTGTAGTACCCAAAACACTAGGCCAGGTCTTCCTGAAGTTAGTAAATAATCACTTTAAATTGCAGTTATCCCTTTTTCACCCAATAAAGTTCAGACTTTCAACAACAGCTATATACTAGAAGAGACTCTCCAATCCTTCAAGCTGCAAGCTTCCAATTTCTCCAGTCTGTCACCCCATTATACATTGGTTAGAAAACATTTAACTATTAATTATAAATTAGTTAATAGACCTCCCAGGGTCCAGAAACTCAGTTTCCATTTTAGTTTATCAAAGCACAAACCACCACTGTATTCTGACAAGCACTTTTTGGGACATCAAAGTGGAAGACTAAAGTTTTTCAACATTTGTCTATACTAGTGTAACAAAAAATCAAGTAGAAATAAAAGCAATAGGACTTCAAGGTCATTATTTTCCAGGGATCTGGGACAGAGTAGAGGAATTTGCATTTTGAATAGGTACCCTAGAGACTCTAATATATATTTTGAAAAGCATTAGTTTACAAAATGTCATAATTTACCTAATCTAAGACTTACATACTATATAGAGTGTTATGCAATGCTAAGAATGTTTGGGCAGTGCTTTTGATTGACAAAAATATTTTTCTACATATTATCTCTTAACATCTGTGATGCGACCAAAGTTTCAGCTTAATGGTAGCATTGAAGCTTTATATATTAATACTTCCAGATCAAGATTATTCAGGTCAAGATAGAGTGGCTTACACATATAATCCTAGCTACTAGAGGTAGAGATTGTGAGGATCTTAGTTCAAGTCCAGCTTAGGCAAAAATTTCCAAGACCCCCATCTCAACTGATAAAAACCTGGGCACAGTGGTGTGCATCTGCCATCACAGCTGCTATGTGGGAAGCATACAGAAGATCACAATCCAGGCTGGCCAGGCATAAAGCAAGATGCTATCTCAAAAACAACAAAATCAAAGTGGCTGGGGTGTGACTTAAGTGGTAGAGCACCTCCTAGCAAGCATGACACCCTAAGTTCAAGCCCCAGCACCACCAACAAAAAAATTATTCATAATTGATAAAGTGCTATAAATCCCCAGTGCCGCTAAAAAAAAAAAAGTGCTATAAAGTCCTTGTGATATGTGACTCTAAACAGAGAGGGGAGAGGTAAGAGTTTCCTTCACATAGGGACGTTTGGGTTATTATAGATCTGGAATCACTAATTAGAGATTTATCTGATTTTCCACCAAGGATGTCTTCCCTCAGTCTCTCTGTCTTGCATGCATTGCCAGCAGATTCAGCTCACCCTGTAACTCTGCCTGTTCCAGGCGTTATCTCTGTTCCTGCGTGCCCTGTACATGTCCTGTAAGGGGATGTGGGTTTGCATACCAGGGGAGAAGAAATGGGAGGAAGGCAGTTGCAGGCTGAGAGGAAGAGCCCAGAGCCCCAGCACAGAAGCCCCTGCAACAACCATGGTTGCATGGCTGAGGGACATCCTAGGAATGTGAAGTCCCTAGAGCGAAGCCCAGTTACAAATATCAATACAATGAACTTTTCTTACATGGAAAGTGAAGTTCATTTTCTCTGCCATGCATGTCTCTGGCTCATTTTCGTCACTTGATCCATACACAAATGAAGTTGGGCTCACAAAGCTGATAGGAACAAAATCAGATTTAATTAACTGTCCTCTTTGACAAGGTATTATAAACAGTCTTTCACTTTGGGTGTATTTAAGAGACTCCATGGAATACTTCTGGTTTCTTGGTCAGGTAAGAATCACTTTTGAAAAAGTGATGAAATGAGAAGACCACATGCTCTGACCTAAGTGACAATTTTTTTTTCTCACCAATATATATTTTTTAACCTTCCCTGAGTCTGGTTCATTCTGCAGATGATTCTTTCACTTTGAGTCCTAAAATGATTCATGCAAATTTGGCAATTATGGAGTCAGTCCTTAGCTTTTCCCCAGAACCTTCTACCACAATCTAATCTGTTCTTGATCTATTTTCATCTCCAATTCTTTCTGACTATTTGTAATATTCCCCAAGTCTGGGAACCAAGTCAAATACTGATAAGTATGGTAAATTTTTGGTTGGAATATGAGGTTATCACTCTTTTTACCTGTGAATAGACATATGTGTGGTAAGCATTGAATACTAGGAAATGCTTTTCTAGGAAAATCCCATCCTATAAGATGTTCCTATTTGGCAGCTAATATTAGGTGCTACCAAATTAGGTACCTGTTAAATCGGAGAGAAATTATAAATAATCAAATGGCACAGCCTTACATTGTTTAAAGCTGTAGAACAGTCCTTGCCCCAAATAATGACATGTGAATAATGGGAACATAAGAGGAACATGCTATCGCATTTTATTTGCTTATGTATTGATTCTTGAGGTCCTGCTCTCCAGGGAATGGCCTTTCCTCCCTTTTAGCTTACAAACTCGATACTCCAATCCATTAGCTTCCGATACTAGCAGTTTATAGACCTGTATGCCATTTTCACGGGTAGTTAAACTGATATGGGGTTGCTTATATTTAGAGCAATGAGAAAAGCTCATTTGTCTATTTTGTTCTGTATCTCATATCTTCTAGTGCTTTAAAGATATAATTTTAAAGAAAGACTAATAGCCAGTGAAATCAATAGAGTTTTTCTGAATCCATGTTTATTCTTCTTCCACATATCTTCTTGGATCTGAGGTACATCCATTAGTGATTTCTAAAATTATGAGGAAGCAATGAATGCTGGTACCAGAGCTGTATTTGCAGAATTCCACTGTCTCATAAGTTTCAAGAGTGAGCAAGAGATACCTTGTAACCAGCTCTCTCTTGCCTCAATCCACTTGCCACATGGGTAGATGTGGGTTTGGAGTTGGCAATTTGGCCAAGCCTACACTTTTTTCCACTTCATTCTTGCCATGGCCACTTGGTATGATTTTGTAAACTTCATACTCCATAGCTCTGCATGCCCTGTATTGCACAGTATATAGCCAAAAGACTGATTGTGCCCTGCTAGGAACTTATTGGCATTCTTTCAGTATGAAATCCATACCAGCTGGTCACAAGTTTGAGGTATATCAGGGATGACTGTGGAGTAGGTTAAAATATTGAATAGCTAAGCACGGAACCACACACTGAGATGATTGCTAAAAGAGAGAGTATCCTTTTCATTTAAAAAAATTAAATATGATTGTAATTCAGGAAAGAAGCAATAGAGGGCTGGGGACATGGCTGAAAAAAGACAAAAAAGCAATGAAGCTGGAACTGAAAATCAGCTCTGAGTCTACTTACCCATGAACCGCTAGCATAACCTCGTACCTTAGAGGTATTGCTAACATCACTTGGTTATCCTGTAGGTTGTCCTGTTTTCCTTCATTTTCACTATAGAAACATAGAAAATCACCTGTTAGAATCCATCAAACACAAAAATCATCTGTGGAAGGAACTAAGTACATACTATGTATACCTAATAGATTTTGCTGTTTGTTTAGAGCTTTGGGGGATAGGGATAAAAACAGATGCAGTAGTAAGAAGGTTTTTAGAACAGGATTGAAAGAAATTTGCTCACATTAATTGATCATTTGCATCTAATGCTAGAGAGAGGGGTTTTTGTTTTTTAAAACAGATATGGTTGGACATGCTGTGAACACCAATATTCTCAGTTTCTTAGGAGGTGGAGACAGGAGGATTGACAGTTTGAAGCTAGCCCAGGCAAAGTTAGCAAGACCCTATCTCAAAACCAAAATGTTAAAAAAAAGAACATTATGTAAAAGAAGTATTTTTCTATAGAAGATTAATGGAGCACAGCTTCATGGTTCCCCTAAAGCCACCCCTAAAAACATAGGGGTACATTTCCTGTAGTATATTATCTTTTCACAATGAACTATACCAGGACGCATGCACTGTGATGTTGAGGTCCTCGTTTGCTCTGTTGAGTGAACTCACATCCAGGAGAAAGCTGATGTCTGTCTATAAAACAGAAGAAAGGTACATTTTAAAAATAATTGAAAATATATTTTTGTAATGTCAATTTTACTTTGACTTAGTAGTTTTTGCCCTATGGAATATAGAATTGAAACTGTTCTATAGGCATAAACTACCCTTCACCTGACAATACACACAGGGAAAATGTGTTTATGGCTAAAGTGCCAGCATTTCCACAAGTAGCATTCAGAGACAAAGGCCTCTCTGAATGTGAAGACAGGCAGGTCCAGACGGACAAAATTAGAGATGCTTTAACAACTTCAGTGAGGACTCTTGCCAAAAACACCTTTTTGTATAGCAGAGGTAACATGCCCGGCAGACAGGGCCACCTGGGGTGGAGTGGGGGAGTGTTGGGAAGGCTGAACAGGCAAGCAGAATTCTGATTGACACATTCACTTGCTTGCCCGTCTCAACATAAACATGTGCTCCCGCCTCCCCCACAGCTTTAGACAGTGAACAGTGCCAAGAATATAAACACAAAGCTTGAAGATTTCAGGATGAGTTGGTTTTGCTTTCACTCCATCACTTAGCAACATATCCTAAGTCAAAAACTATTGCAGCCTAATGGTAAGGAAAAAATATATTACTGTAATAAATAAAAACCATAAATGCTAACTGCTTACCCTTGAGAGATGGTCTACATATATATAACCAATGCTGCAGTCAAGTTTTACCATGCCAGAGCTGTCTTTTACTTCACAGTTAATTTGTTTCTCTTCCTAAAAGGAAAAATAAAACAATTAGTCTGGGTATGAAAGAAATAAGAAATTTATAGCTTATGTTTAGAGATGTTTTTTTGAAAAGAAAGCCATCCTAAAAGTACTTACTTCCTAGGAAAGCATTTCCTATTTCATTTGAGGGCAAATAAGTAGAAATATAAATGAATAATATAAATATGTATGTACATGTATATAGTAATATTTATCCAAGTCCTCCATAAAAAATTTCTAGACTTGTAGCTCTCTCATTCAGCTTGGTATATTTTCCATTTAATCTAACATCTAACTCATTGAAAAACTGGGATTCAGGGAATCCGTTAAGTCCTCATTTCATTCTTCTGCTTGGTATATGAAAATGTGTTTAAGGTATTTAACCAAAATAACTATAATCACAATAAGTGCATTTAAAAAAATATATCTCCTGAATACCTGGAGTTTCTCCTCTTTCTTTTGAGATAGACTCCTAATACTCTAGAGAAAGGGTTTAATAGTTATTTGTGAGAGGTCAAAGTTCTCTCTCAAAAGCCCTTGGTGTAATGTGGTTTCTGAATCAGACATGGGTAAATTTGCTAAAGGATAGAAAAATCTCACAGGAGGAAGGAACTAAGGCTTTGCTCTTTGAAACTCATCTTACTAATATCTCGCTGATGGATTTAAGTGTATATGACTGAGACACAGTGGTAAGGAAGGTCTCCAAGAACTCCAATCTCTTGTGGTCAAAGAAACATTTGATAAAACCCATGTTTGAGAGTGGGATTTTAGAATCAGCGGAGGACTTCCGGTTCTGAAGTACTAGAAGTTCTTTGGGAGGAAACCTGAGAGTCTGTACTTAAAGCAAAGACTGTGGGTGCTTGGCATGGAAAACAAATATTGCTCATGCAAGGACCTCAACCAAGAGGAGCACTTTACAGAAAAGCATGTGGCAGTGAGGATGCGATCCCACGCAAGCAGCTCTCTCCTTTTTGCACTGGGGAACAGGAAGCTGAGGCTCCTCAACTTAGATCCCAAGGAGATTACCTTTCTTCAGGAAGTCTCAAAATAACTACAAGCCCAATTGTTAATATTTAATTAAGATTTATGCCCCAACTTATTTATATCCCAATAAGTGGGATATGAATGGGGTATGTGAATTATACCACTTACAGTTTTTAAAAGATTCAGTAAAATCTAAGTAGCATTATGCTATTGTGGTGTGCAGTACTTACCAGGTCTAAAATCTTAATGAAGTAAAGACCAGCGGGAAGTCTGACATGCAGAGTTGTTTCATATGCATCATCCCCAGCATTGAACAAGGACACGTTCAACATTACCACCTTCATACTCCCAACAGCAAGGTAGGTTTTATTTTCATATGGCCTAGAAATTAGGTAATACTTAGCTCCCATTTAGGAAATAGAATTCCAATTCCATATATTTAATATTTATACTTACTAAAATATTAATTTAGAAAAACAACCATGGGAAATAACCCCATATAAGCAGATTTAAATCCATACAAAAGAACTCAATTTCTCATGTTTCAAAGAAATTCAGTCAGCTATTGCCAAAGAAAAGTTTGGTTTATTAGTTAAAATGAAGTGGTCTGTTTTTACTTTTCTGCTTAACTTCTATAATTTCAATATTATTTTGTAATATTTTCTAAAGGCAAAGAACTTTTTTCCTTTTTCTTTCAGTCTTCAAATAGACACTGAAGAAAGTACTTCTTTACTAAACCAAAGGATTAAAAATGGGTTTTTTTTTTTAACTGGGAGAAAAGCAGAATAAGGAAACCCAGGGAATATATTGATAGAAGTGAAACAAACATGAATAAAAATTATTATGCCAATCAGGTGGGTGTCACAAAAACCTGTTGGACTAGCATTAATTTCTGAAGCAAGATGGCTGGTCACCTATACCATGAAATAGGTCAAATTAAAAACAGAATTGCAAAAGTCCTCCACCATCCTGTGACTTGCAAAGAGTAGATTGCAGCAATCAGACATGTAAGTCCAGACCCTGATATTGTAACCCATGCTTTGGGATGGGGTGCCATCCAACCTGTAATAGTGGTAAGTTAATGTTTGGTGAAGATTTGGTTTATGTATACTTCATGTGATCCTCACAGTGTTTTAAGTATGAGGAACTTATGGCTGAGGGAACGTGCTTACAGGACACAGCTGGGACGTTCTAAAGCCTCATAGCAATCACCACTTCTACATGGTACAATTTCTTTCCCATACAGAGGGTTAGGGTAGCTTCATGCTTAAGGAACATTCAATTCCAGAATGTTACAACTTTATAAACTTTCCCCAACCACAGCAAGTTCTTTGTCATCTAACAATTTTTAAATGAGAAAAATTATTTCAAACTAGAGGATGTGACCCAAAAGAAAGTCATGACAGTAAAACAGGTAAATATTTACCTAGCACTTTAAAAGTTTCTTCTATGTTTAAGTCGTGCCAATCTGATCAACATTTGCTTAGAAGATTAGTGCTTGAATAAAGTACTTATGAAATACTAAACACAGAATAGCCATGTGAACTAACTGAAGACAAGAGATAGAGAAGGATAGCCGAGGAACATGTTTCAGAATTTTTGCTTTTATGCATTACTTGAAGATATATGAATGACTGCAATTGAAAGTTATAGTATAATAAATCAGGTACTATGTTGATCCCTCATATAAACATAGTTAAAATACAATTCACTGTCTCATAGAAAGAGTACAATAAAGGACAGAATTATAAACAAACATCAACAAATGTTATAAATACATGGGAAAGAGTTTTGAACAAAGTGCTCTAAGAGACCAGGGAAGGAAACCACTTTTGTCTGGTGGTAGTAAAGGCATGTTGTTCTTTGCTTTTCTGTTACTCTGATTAGTATGGCTATGGCAAAGATCTTTTTTAAAGTCTGAAGATGTTAATACTAAACCTGAGTTAAGTTGGATTAGACCTCTAATTGATTTGCTTCAAATCCGTATCCTCTCCTTTAATCCAGTCACCCCACTGCCAGAAGGTTATTTTCAACAAAACAAACTAGGCAATGCCACATGTCTGTGTAGTAGCTTCCAATGCCTTCCAGTGAAAAATCCCACTTCTTAGCATCACCTCTGAGGTCTTCAAGGGCGGCCCATGCCTTGTTTTCTACTGCATATGCTATTCCTCTGCTCTAGCCATATTTACCTACAAACAGGTGTCCAAACACACCAACATATTTCTTGTCTTAATAAGAACTCTCCCTCTGAGTTTAACACGTCCTCTTTCTGTACCTGCGTAACTTGTATTTGCTTTTCAAGACTTAGCTTCAACACTAGTAACACTTAGTAGTTCTTCTCACCCATATTCACTGCCAACCACAGACACCTGCACTGCTTTCTTCCCTGCAGTGGCTTCTCCCCTTTCCAAGACACACTGGGCACCTATGTAATGCAGCACTTTTACAATGTACAATCACCATCTGGTTTCTCTTACCACTAGACTAAGTTTACTTGGAGGGGTCACAGTTAATACTGCTTTCTCAGAGACTAGCAACACAGTGAGCAAAAAATTTGTACAGATTCACATGTACATATCAAACATTAAAAAAGCTGGATTATACTCAAGAGACATTAAAAAAAAACCCAGGAAGTTACTGGATAAGTTATTGACTTTTAAGTTTATGAAATCAGTCAATATAAATTCTATCAAATTACAGTTAGATAGCCATGTTTATCTCTTCTGTGAGGGTACATAAATTTCAAATGTTTCACTAAGATAAAGTAACATCTGGAACCCTCACATTTATGTGACCTGCACCCCACCCTACAACCTAACATTTTAGTGGTAACACAGCTACTGAAATGACCAAATTAATGGTACTGTATGACCATGGTAAAATCAGTACTAGAAAGGGAAAACTATTTGCCTTTCCAGTCTTTTTCCTCCTTTGTAACACTACAGATATCAAAGAAAAAGAGATGAGGGACAGTTCTGGATATACCATCTCTATCTTCTGGTCCTTAGGTATGAGAATTTTGGTGAGGCTGGAGGCACATGTAATAACTAGTACAGTAGTCACTTGAAATGCTGGCTTCATTTCAGGTGGAGGAAGTTGATGGAGTGACTGCTATCCCAGCATTTAGGGGATGGGTGAGATTCACTCATTCCTGTGTTGTGCACCTGTGGGTTAAGTCAGTAGATGTATACTTGGTGGTGGTATTAAGTGAGAATAAAGAACATAGTTGTTCTGCATTCCCCTACTATTCTGAAATCGAATTATAACTAGAGCAACCTATAAGGTTCTAGGAATAAACTTCAGCTTGACATTAAAGTTTAATTAAGATTTGTAGAAGAGCTGCCTAGAAATAGACGTCTATAAAATATTCTGGCTTGTAACCAAAGCATTAGTCACTGAACACCTTTGGGAGAGAAGTTGGCACTTAGTCAAGCAACAGAAGGTGGAGGCACTGCACAAACAGACAGGTTCCAAGCAACAGCAAATTAGACACAATGCTCACATTTCAGCAGCGAGACTCCTGGTTTATTTTCCATCTTTAAGCTCTTTTCCTACGTTACCACAATTACAATTCTATTCTTTTAAACTTACATCTCACTGGATCTTGATTCATTAACAAGATGCGATCAGAAAGATACCCACTAATGTTCTATGTGAGACCATATAAAGGACCAGGTGCACATCTGGAGGTGTGACAAGACTGAACTAGTGCTTTCCCTGGGACGTGTGGCTCATTCTTCATTAAAACATGCATAATGCAGACTTGAAATTTACAAAGCAGTCTAGAATCCACATAACTTACACAAATCAAGGTGCTGTGTACACACAGAATCATAACTTAATAAGTGAAAGAGGAAAAATAGAAAACCGATGCATTGCAGCACCAGACACTACAGTTTTACTGAGGGAAAAACATACTTTTATTTTGCAAGACATGTTCTCTAAGTCCTAATGCAGTAGGTATACTTTGCCTCCACAAAATGAATTAGGGCTTCATAGATAACTGGTTTTTTATCAAGATTCTAGAACAAAAGACAATGTAAACTGATAGCTGCATTACTGTGTCAAGGTACATGACACGTTTGACAAAAGAGTGACCTGGAGCAAGTGGCATACAGCCTCAATTTTATCCTTTTTTTTTTTTCCACTATTGACTCAGGAAGAAAGAAAATACTGAAAAATTCTTGCCTACTAGACTAGATCAAGTTCCTGGAATTTAAGAAGAGTTTATTGAATAAAGGAAAACTGAGGTTAAGAGGAGAACAGCAGGAGAACCTGGATTGGATGTCTTGAGTTATAACTAGCATGTTTTAGGGTTAAAGCACATAATTCATCCTCTTAAGCTGTTAGGTCAGTGAAGCTTCCTTTCCCACCATCTCTATTTTAAAAAGGCAATTTCATTCGACTAGCTCTTTGGGTAGTTAATAGGCATAGTGACAGATGCTTCTCATTACTGTGTATCTAGCAGTTTTCTCCCCTTTGGCTGCTTATAGGACTATCCAGGTAGTAAACAGCATTTTTGTGATATTGCATAAAACAAACATTTAGTTCAGCTTTAGGGACTGCAGCATGATTGATCGCATCATATGATCACAAAGACTCCATTTTTCTTCACCCATGATCAGTTCAGGGGAGAGCATGTGGTACGGTCTGGAGAGTCAGATTACATTTGACAGGCACGTCCCTTCCAGGAAAGGAAGACTCAGAAAGAAAAAGCATTCCTGTTTTTACAACTTTTTTCTTCCTGGGGACTGTTGCAGTCATTTTGTAACCATGAGGAAAAAGGCAAAAGAACGGGAAGGACACCTAGCAATGTCTAGTTTTTCAAAGCTGCCCAGCAAACCTCCAGACTGCTTTTTATTCAAAATAAATTTTTTAATTCTTTAAGTCACTATTAGTCAAGGACTGTTACAGTTAAAAGCATCTGTAACTGTTAGGAAAGCAATCATTTGGGAAAAGCCTGCATTCTTACCTAGAAACATGGCAGCTGTGCAGAAGAGAAATAGTGCTATTTCTATCAGAAGTGAAAGACCCGATTTTAAATTGCCTATGTAATGGACAAAGTAAATGTCCATTACATTTGTAGTTGTAATCTCGATAGTCATATTTGTATTATATTTGTAATCTTGATGGTCATATTTGCCCATCTTTATTTTGCAGGGGAAATATACATGAATGTGGTTTATTGTACCAAGAGCTAGACATGTCAACTTAATGAGAAGCTAAGACTGAGTGCATAAGCACTGTTTAGAGTGCTGTCAGCAGTTTATTGTTGAAGGCATCAGAAACTCATGTTCTTTACTAAGTAAATACATTTACCTAAAACAGGTTTATAGATTTGGGGCACACAAATACCATCAGTGCCATTGGAGTTATAGCTG